CTCTGTTATTCTGTTAAATATGCTGCATACAGTTTCATATTTCAGAGTTAGCAGTTTTCTGGAAGAAAATACTTCTGAAGCAAATGTTATCAAGTGTAGAATATAAACACATATTTAAAATAATGTTTAATAAACAATCAACAATATACATCAATCCATGGGAAAAAATGTAAAGGTGGGGGACAGACACATCAAATGGCATGTTATTACTGCTGATCACTTTCAGGGGAAAACTCAAGGTGCTTGTTTTTCCAGAGGTGTGGGACTGGTATCTATGTGCATCATGGCAAAAGAGTTAAAGAGAAATCTGATAAGGAGGCAACTTGGAATGTAGATTGGGTTCTTCTCTTGGTCAATTTTGAGTGGGATTATTAGCAACATTATGAAGCACATTATGAACAACATGAAGCTTTTAAATCGCTCCCAGGAGATGCTGTAATAACTTAATGCAGTTCTTAGGAGAGGAGCAGAAGAGAAATTTCCCTCTACATCACTTCAATCTTATACATATTCTGGCAATCTGTGCAAGAGACAGAAAAAAGCCTCAGCTGACAGATCTTTAGAAATTTCAATCTGTGTGCTTCACAGACTGTAGATTTGTTTCCTTGATGGGAGGAGCTGAAACTGGGCTGGTACAAGGAACAACTTACAGAATTAAAATCAGACCTGCCCACTTTTTAACAGCTTTCTGAGTGCCAGGAGTAGACAAATGCAACACTTTTCTCTTAAAATGGAGTTTTGTTTTGATTGTTTTAAAGTGGTACCTCTATAGTTTTTGCCATTATTTGATAGAAACTTCTGTGCAGGCAAGGTAAGTTTAGATTAGATTTTGCCTACCTTGCCGGTTTCTTGAGGAGGAGGCATTCTGACACTTCAGGAAGTGCTGATTTTCAGTGACGGAAAGTTGCTTCAACCCTGAAGTTGCCTTTGTTAACTTTGTCCTGATGATTTGTCCAGTTTCCTGAGTATCACAGTGAAGTTCACTGTGCTTTAGTATTGCAAATCTATGAATGTGATATTTTTGCATGCAGAGGAGTGCAGTTAAATGAATCTGGAAGGAAAAAAGGATCTCTGGCTTACAGGAGAAAACTGTTGCTCTAAATCCATAGTCTCTTTAGACTCAATAGATTTTTTTCTATTAGAGTTACATTTTCTTATTCTTAAGTAAGAAGAATATCGTTGTTATTTGTGTTTAGCAAAAATATTTGCATGGCTTAATCAAGTTTATCTAATACTTTACTAGCATAGCTATGTTTGTATATTAATTATGGTTGCTTTTAACTTTGTTTTTTATGGACATTTAATATGTTTTTGGTTTTAGGGATTGTGCAAATCCAGAAAGTGATTAGGTAAATAATTAGGATAAGCAAATTGTACGAACACAGCCATAGTGTTTCAATGGGTAGGATTGGCACAATGATATGGGTTGCCTTTGAGCAAGCACTGATACTGCTTTTTTATAACTAGGAAATCATATAAAGGTGGCCATAATCTAATAGATGCTTAGAATGCGGAAAGCTCTAGATTCAGTTCTTAACATCTTCAGATATAAATGGGAGATCTCAGTTTGAAATGCCTGTTGATGACTATTAAGAAACTAGAAAATGTTATGGTGACTGAGTATATCACATCCTCCTTCTTGAATGTCATGCATTAATTACATGGTATCTTTGCAGAATAATAACAGTGTCGCTACTGGGTTCATTTCATATACTAAGCTGCTGTTAGGTTTTACTATGGTTTATTGAATAAGCCATATTGTCCTGATTCATGTGTAATTCTAACTTAACTTAAAACATGGGTTATAGCAATGGTTTGTTTCATACATAGTGCTTAGTCAAAACTAAGCTATTTTCAGTAAGTGTGTATTGCAATGTGGCAACAAAAGCCACACTATTTGCATTGTGGGAGCAAAGCAAAGATTTCATAATCTTCATCCATAAGAAAATAAGTCATCATATCCAGGGAGTACCAAAGATGGTGAAGATTGTAGCATATCACAAGAATAAATCTGTTCCAAGTGTGTCCTTATTTGTTGCATGCTCAGCAAAATTGGAGTACAGTCTCAACTATGTATTTCTGCTTGTCATTCAGAACAGACTTAAATACTTTATCCTGTCTTTATTTCTTATATTGCTCTTCTACTTTTCATCTGTAATGGTAAGGCCAATGCATACCCCCTATTTATCCTGCTTAATATTTCTATGTATTAGACTGTCAACTATTGCATACAAGGGTACCTTTTTCACAATTTCTGATGACTCTTGTATAATCCAAGGCTGAGGGACAGTTTTACATCTCAGGAAAATAACAGAATAACATAGTTGAAAGGGATCTTGCAGGTCATTTAGTCCAACCCGACAGGAAACACCATACCATTTCAGACAAATGGTTATCGAATCTCTTTGTAATAATGTGGAAACAATTCACATTATTACATAACTACAAATGGATCCTACTATTTGTGCATATTTTTGCTTCAACATACCATGCAACCCCATGCAATTATGGATAGTGCAACTGCAGATAAAAGGAGTTTAAGCCTAAACTAAATGGAGGTTTAAATTCCACAACTGTAGAAAAACCGTCTGCTTTATTTGTTAATAAAGGGCAATATTTTCTGTGGCCATATGCCACTTTACTCAGCAGAGTTCTCCCCTCACTTATTTTTACTGTGGGGAAGTAACTTGCAGAAAGAGGATAACAGTATAACATCAGAATGTAGCCATTTGCTAGGAAATCAAAGGAGATCAAAGGAGAATTCTATAAATGCACCAAATGATGGATGAAATGAAAGTGCAAATCTAAAAATGCAGATAATACCTAAACCATTTACTATGGACAATTTATTTGGATCTTTGTTTTTTAACCATGGATACTCAAAGCCTGCAGATAATGAGGTCCACTGTATTACCATTTATTGTAAAAATTCCTTGCTAATTCTACTAAGGTGATTTAGTGTAATACTATGTAAAAGGCATTTTTGCTTACATATCATTTGTATGGCTTGTTTGCTCTGCTTTCATTATTTTATGACAAATAGTAGGATTGTGTTACAATCATAAAAACTTAAGATAAACCTTGGGAATAATAAAGAACATCCATGTTAAACATCTCCTAAATATATACTTCTTCAAATAGATCATAACTCTTATAAACTATTTAGCATTCATGGCATATTTAGTATTATTAATTAGGGTACATTTTATTCTGTGGACATGAAAGTGGTTTATGGTTTAGTACTACTATTAAACTAATAAGGAGCCCAAGTTTAAAAAATCATTTTGTATGCTTTTTATTTGTTCTGTGTAGTTGGAAAGAAGCATAAATCCAACTTTCTTTTCCCTGATTTCTTGTATGTATTTATGAATCCTCAAATTATTTAATGATGTGGAATAAATTGTAGGAAGAAGGCTTGCCATATTAACCTTGACTCATTTTCAATCATATAACATTCTTAATAGATTGTGGGAATGCTGTTGACAATATATATTAGCTTCAAGGCATTTGACAAAGCTAGTGTAGGTGGATGGCATAATAATTAAGTGAATATATCAAAATGGCTCAAAATTGTAGCTCAATAGTGCTCATCAATAGTTCCTCATTAAATTCAAGAGAGATTATCAAGCATGGGCCCCCAAGGATTAGTTCTGGGTCCTCTAAAGATCTATTTTTATTAATGCCTTGGATGAAGAAATGGAGGGAATCCTTATCAGTTTTTTAAATGAACCAAACTGGGTTGGCTAACTATCCTAGAAGACAAAAATAACATTCAAAACTTTAACAAGTTAAAGGAATCGCCTTTAACTGAATCAAGTGTAAAATTCTTCATGTAGGAAGCTAAAATGAAAAACATATATAGCATCTGGCTTAGATTGGTATTTGTGAAAAAGGTTGGAACTATAGTATATTATAAAGTAAATATGACCCAAAAGTGTCATAATATTTATTCCTTTGGTTAGCCCCAACTTTGAGCTCAATTTCTACTTCTGCTTCTTATGTTTTTAAAAGGATTCAGAGAAATTAGAATGGGTTCAGAGAAAGGCAATCATCTTGAGAGGTAGACCAGATAGGAAACATGACTAGATGAGTGAATTCTATTGTATTGTAATGTAATGTAACAGGAACCTTACAAAATTTGAAACAACATTTTTCCTCCTCACATCCCCTTTACAGCCCAAAAAATTAGGAGTGGAGTCCTTTCTGAGCTGCTTGTCCCATCCCACTCGTGTTGTGGGCTAAGTTGACTTTTATCTGACCATTTCTTTGGCTGCATTTCTTCTCCCTGTCTCCCAAGGTCATTCCCACATACCACAATGAGGGTGATTAGAGAAATAATGAAGTGCTGTGTTGGAAAAGGGATTGAAGGAGCTATATGTTTAATCTCAAAGACAAGACTACTGAAAGATAATTTGATACAAATGTAATATTATGGAAAGTCAAATATGTGTTCTGTTCCACAGCATAGGACACAGGTGTTCTCCTGATAAGATAGCAAAGACGAAAACAATTTAGTAGTGGTTAGGACAACAGTAGAATATTCTGAAACTGCAGATCTAGAGAAGACATAGCTTTTAAGTCTACATTATTCTGCTTTACTTTCTATTTTGCTACAGGTCTTTGATCAGGGCCTCTTTAACATTTGAGCAGAGAAGAAGCTTCTGAACCAAAGACAGCTGACTTAATGATTGTGGCCTTGTTGTACAACTAATATGAGTTAAGAAGTTGCAGCTGTTCTCAATAGTTAAAATGTCTTGGGGTATTATTTCAGGAATCGAATTGGGAGAGGGGGGGTAACACTGTTGGGATGGCTAAACTGAATAGTTCTGGCAGCCCCCAAACAAGCTGTCTGTGTATACTAATATTGAGGTTATTGATTGCTCTTATGTAACAGTCCTTTTAGATTATTGGAATTATTTATTGACTTAGATAACAATCAATTAATTAATTTGTGAATAACTTGCCATTGTTGCTAGTGTACATTTTCTTCTGTTTTCCAGAAATTAACCAAACAGGAATTCTGGCAGCTTGTCCACCAGAGCTATGGCTCTGAGCTTGGCTTGAATATAGAAGAGATGGAAAGCATTTATTCATCATCTGAAGAGAATGGACAATTAAGGTAAGGAAATACTATAGATTGCCACACTGATACTGTGATTTTTGCCTTTTGGGAGATTGTGTTTTGTTTATAGGACCATCTATTAATATAAACTTGGTATAATTTATTCTGTCAGGGATATTTTAGGTATTAATTCTTGCTATCCAGGTTGCTGAAAACTTTTTATCTTTGGTGTCACTAATGAAGCAGTAGTATTTAAATGTTTTTGAATATGCAAATTGTTCAGTTATATACAGAAGATTCATTTTACAGAATCTTTATAGAAGATTGTTCTATAAACCCAACAAATATGGTATTGCTATAGTTGCTTGCATGCAATGGTATTGTCAGGATTAAGAGCAGATCAATTCAGGTTGTATAATTTTTTGGTCCACTTGAATAGGTAGGCGATAAACCTTCAATGCTGATAGCAAATTAAGACCTTGGACCTTATCAGATGCTGAAATGAGTCACTATCTTGAATTCTGTTCCTCCAACAAAATTCAATGGCCCTTCTGTCAAAATCACCATTGTTCTCTAAAATTAAGTTTTCATAAATAGACTTATTTAGCTATAAACAATTATGTTTTATGTCTACAGCAGAACTAAGCATGCTTTCTATCCCATGGCCACATGGTCTGTTCTCCCCCCCCCCCCCCATCCGCCCCAAGTCTTCACAATAGCTAGCAACAAATGTTATGTGTTTAGACATTGGCTGGGAAACACTTTGCTTTCAAATCAAGCCTCTACTTAGGCTTTGTTCTACCAAGTACTATCTATGTAGTTTGGATTTCAACTACTGCAATCCCAAAGTAGTAAGTTCCATGGCGGCTAGCTACAGATCATGTTTGATGAGCTTTAGTATGGAGAAAACTATCCTAGAAACTTCCTATGTTTGTCCTTTTGCCTAGTCATCTTAGATGTGAGTAATTATACAGAAGATATTTGGGAAAATATCGCAACTGTAGATAAGCAAAGGGATTTTTCCCCTCATTCATGCAACAAAATGTAACAAAGTATAATGGTACTACTTTTTGACAGGTTCTGTAAAATGATGTTCCTAAGAGGTAAAGACATCATTTGATGGTAGAAAGATTGAATGTTTTAAGGCAGATTTGTTTTCCAATCTGTGCTTTAAATCCAATATATCACTGTATTCAGGGGTGGGATTCAGCCGGTTTGTACAGGTTCATGCGAACTGGATATTAAATTTACACCGATCGGCTGGCCCCGTGCACCCCACCCCACCCCTCCCAGGAGTCTCCACGTGGTCTGTTTTGGATGCAGGTAAGTGCAGGGTCCGCACAGAAGCTCTGGGAGGGTAAAAAACGGCCCTCCCGGAAGTTCCAGCAGGCCACACCCATCATGGCCACGCCCATCCAGCAACTGGGCAGCGAACCAGTTGCTGGGATTTTTGAATCCCTCCCCTGGCTGTATTAACAAATGGTTCTAGAATAAGTATGAATCAACATTGTTGCTATTTTTGTATAGATCTAACCTTAGTGATGAATCTGGAGATAAGGAACCAGCTAAGGCTGTTGGTGTAGTTCAAGAATCCACTGCTCTGAATGAAGTTGAGACAGAATTTCTTACTGGAAACTCACTTTTAGTAGTAAGCTTTTAAAACATTTCTTTTCATTATAAATGCCTTATTTACTTTATTACTTGTTTTATATTCTTGCATATAAATGCATACTGTTTAAACCATTATATACACCATAGTTTAACAACAACATAGTTTAAATATTTATAATTTATCATAACTAAATATAAAAATATAATCAAATAAATATTTTAATGCAAGATAACCTATATATTTACAAAAATGTAGATTGCCCATCTGCTAATAGATTTCTCATATTCTTTGAGAAATCAGTTTGGTTAAATGAACTATGTTATAAGCTATATCCAAACTATGATGAAATAGCTGCCTCCATCCTCTGGAATATTCTCTCATCACAGGTGAGTTCCACACCCACATTCTTGGCCTTCTGGAAGAGCCTAAAAACTTTGCTCTGCTCCTTCGTCTGGGCACTGACAAAGGCCTATACATTGGGGATTGCTGATGAGATAGAAGAGATTCTCCTCACCAGACTGCCCATCATCTTGGTTCTTTTAACATTTTTAATTCCAATTTTAATTGTTTTTAGCACTTTTAAACTTTTTGTAAGCTGCCCAGTTACTATATTAGTGAGTTGGGCAGCATTAAAATTGAATAAATAAAATGAATAGCTTTCTAGACTGAAAATAGTTCAGTGAATTCCTTATTAGTTCATAAATAAGCCCTTCTGGTTTAATAATACATACTGTATTTCCTTAAAAAATGTTATTATATTATTTATTGTTAAATGTTCTGAAGTTACTTATGACCATTATTTTCTGTTTGAAATGAATTCTAATCTTACGTAACATATTTGGTATTGTTCAGTGATTTTTAAAAAAAGTAACCTACAAAATCAAAATCAGAAATGGAAATCAAGCTAGTCATATTCTTGTAGAGTAAAATTCTTATTATTGTGGATATACTTAAAATATGTAGGATAGCATGCTGATAATTTATATATAATTAGAAATTTAGATTTTGAACAGGTTTCAAAATATTGTCATTATATAAAACAAAATCCTGTTATTACATATAATATCACTATACTTTCACCCCAACATGAATATCAAATGCTTTTTTCTTGGCATTTGATACTGCTATCTGTATCTGAAATGTGTACAGAATGTGGGTTTTCAGGAGTTTGTGAGTGGTTTTAGAAGCATTTAGAAGGTTTTTGTATTTTCTTTTTGGAATGCTAAGATTGTGAATTGTCATGTTATTAAATAAGATGGCTGTGAGAATGATATTCTATTTTATTAGGTTGCTGAACCAGAGGAATGTCATTATAATAAACAAGACAAGAGGAATTCATTGATTTCTTTAGAAAGGAAGCTCTCTGATGTACCACACAAAGTTTCAATACAATCCTTGGATCTAAATGAGAATTTTCCTAAGGAAAAGAGCAGTGCCTCTGAAAGTGATGAAGACGGTAAATAATGTTCCAGTCTTAATGTTCCATACAGTACAAATTACACCAACAAAAGCAAACAGAAACTATCTTATCTATGGAATCTGCTCTTGCTTATCTTACTGCTAGTAAAACTGATAGAAAATGGCTGAGTGTTGTGGCTGCCTTATGCCATAGATCCTGAAGACCTTGAGAGACAGTGTCAGGTTGGAGGACACAATCAGTACATGTAAACTGTTCATCCTGTTACTTCTTCAATAGTTTACTGTCAAGTTTGAAAGAAAGAGACAATAGGATCTATTTGGAGAGCTTCTGTACAAACAAGAATTTGGAAATACTGACTAGAGATCATTAAAAAGATTTATTTATATCTCATGTTTTTTTAAATAGGAGGAAGGTGTGTTGGATATATTCACCGCGTTGAGTTTTTTTGTGAAAATGATAGTGGGATATAACTAATCAAATCAATAGATAAATAAATAACTGAAGGAGAACGCGCACAATACTCTTTCCTCCTTCTACTTTCCCCACAACAACCCTGTGCACAGAATTTGGACTTGGAGACAGTGATTAATCAAAATCATCTGCCTTAGGCTTTCATGCCCAAGGCAGGACTAGAACTCAGTCCCCTGGCTGCTAGCCTAGTGGTTCACCACTCAGAAATCATACTCTGCCAATGATTGCTATTTTATCTTTTACATCAACATGATGTCATTATGTGATCTGCACAATATAAATTAGAAACAAAACTGCTGCAGATAGCATCAATCGTACCCCCAGTATCCCTGACTATTCCAATCGCTGGCTACTCCAGACAGTGAACTTTCAGTAACAGCCCACAAAATGTTTTGTTTTATTTTATGGATGAAAAATCTTTCTTCCATACTTACAGTAACAACTCAATTATTTTCTCTTTTCCAGTCCATTGATGAATTAAGATTAAATGGGTTAGCTTACAAAATCTCCTCCTCCTTTCTATATATGGTTCATAGCAGGGGTCGCCAACCTTTTGGACCTCAGGGACCACTAAACTCAGGAGCTGGCAGCTGCTACTTGGCAGTCCCGCGGGTGAGGTGAAGTCATCCCGGTCCCCGGTTAAGACATACCAGTCACAAACCCAGAGTCCAAGCCGAGAGGGGTTGCTTCCCCCTGCCACAAAGAGCGGCGGGTGCATGGTTTAGCACAGTGGGCGACCTCCACTGTGGGCTGACGAGCCACATGCTGAAGACCAGATGTCTGTTGGGAAGGTGGGGCAATAGGGTTGATACTAGCGGCAGATGGACTCATACGCGTGGGAGATCATGGCATAGGCCTGGCCTGCGAGAGGGTGGGGGTGGGGGGAAAGGAACCTCTGAACTGGTGTTACCTCCTGACTCTTGCCTCCACACATCAAGGAGGTTGAGCGGCTGCCAGCGATGCCCTCAGGGGAAGATGTTGCAAGGGGGAGGCTCGACCCTCCCCAGGAGCTTCTCTTCCTCCTCGCCAGAAGTGCTTACACGCAAAGCGCTCACTGCCCCTCTGGCCTCCGACAAGCCTCCTCCTTCCCGCTGAGTGTATGAGCGTTCCTGGGGAGGAGGAAGAGAAGCTCCTGAGGGCAGGGACATGGGAGATTATGGCATCGGAGCCATTCCTGGCCTGCGAAGGGAGGGCACGATCTCCTGCGCCCCCCCGGAGCTTATCTTCCCCCTCACCAGAAGCACTCACACGCAAAGCACTCACCGCCTCTCTGGCCCTGACAAGCCTCCTCCTTCCCACTGAGTGTGTGAGTGCTTCTGGCAAGGAGGAAGAGGGGGTCGAGCCTCCCCCTTGCAACATCTTCACCTGAAGGCAGCTGCTTCCTGTGGCTCAGGATGTCCGCGCTCTTCTTGCTGCTGCTCGGCCTCCTCGATGTGCTGAGGCAGAAGGCAGCAGCCATGACATGGGTTTGCTAGGGAGACTGCAGGATTGCCCCACCTCCCCGCCTCAGCATGCTGTGGCCCACCAAAATTTTCTCACGGCCCACCAGTGGGTTGGCAACTGCTGGTTCATTATATCTTTGATTATTCTTTTGCAAGTTTTGTTCTTGTTTGTCTTGTTACCACCTTCAACATCAAGGAATGCTTTTTAAAGCCCTTCATAACTGTAGAGTTCTAGAATCCTTCACACTTTATAGGCAAGTAAAGAAACAATTCATTAATTCATTGTCTTCTAATTCTAAACTGCCATAAATGCTTAAGGAGTTTTCTAAAATATACTTGGAGATTTCCATTTAGAGGATTTCTGTCAGGAAAGTTGTTGGAAAGAGGAACTATTATGCCTGTTACTTACATTTGGTAGCTTGAATCAAATTGTCTCACACAATTGTACTTTTGACATCCTTTAAGTAGCGCAGACAATTTCATCTTTTTGGATATATTTTTTCTGATGTAACTGTTACAGAGTTCTTAATCTGTGTTTTAAACTCTTCTCCAATAGCTGAGGAAGCCATCCTTGAATGTGAAATCCATGGAAAACTCTTTATTAATCGTATTTTCCGTATTGGTGCAGATAAGATGTTTGAAATGCTTTTCACTAATTCCCATTTCATGCAGACATATCTCAGGACTAGAAATATAACAGGTAAACTATTTTAATTTGCACTGTCTACATTGAGTAAAAACAAGTTAATCTCCCTTTTAACAAGATGAATATTGTGTTAAAAGCAACTGATACAAAGGCTGGGTTCAAATATAATACAAACCCATTTTTTCATGGTTGCATTCAGATGATTAGGCCTTGCCTAGTTTCCTGCAACTATATACTACTTCTTTCGCTCTTCCCTTTGCTTGCGAGAAAAAACCATGTGGTTTTTAACTGCAGTATTTTGGCTTTGTTTTTCTGTTCAGAAATATGCATATGTTGACTTTTTTTAAAGCTAGGAAATGATTATCTGAACACAGTCACTGTCAAAATATAAACATGCTCACAAGTTATGGTTTATTAGCAACCAACACATAGCGATTTGAAATCACAATCTGATATTTCTTTGCAAGTTATATTGAATTGACAAAATGCAGCTGGATACAATAGGTTATCATACTGCAGATCAAGGGTGTCAAACTGGATTTCTTTGAGGGCCGGATCAGCATTGTAGTTCTCTGTGGGCCAGCAGCAGGTGTGAGGGCGTGGGACTGTGGGACAGATGCCTCATTCAGTACCCTGCCAGCCAGAAATGGGCCACATGGCCAGTTTTCAGACCATTTTGGGGCCATTTTGCGGGCCATTTTCAGCCCAGGTTTCAGCCGGCAGAGTGCTGCAGGAGGCCATGGAGGGTGAAAACAAGGTGTGGCGGGGGCTGCATGTGGCCCGTTTTAGTCATCAGAGGAACCACAGGCCAGTCCTTTTCATAGTTTCAGGCTGGCCCTGTGGGCCAGATTTAAGCACTCTGTAGGCTAGATAGGCCTGGGGCTTTGAGTTTGACACTCCTGCTGTAGATAGAAGAATGAACTTATAAAATTGAGTGCTGATCATCTGAGCAGAGAAAGCAGAAATGCATCCAAACATTAGGTGATTCCAAGTTTAAACAGTTTTCATTCAAAAAATTTATGCACACAACTAATTATTAACACTCACCATTATTTTGTATTAAGTTTTGGTTCAGCTGAGATCACAGAACACCATTATATATATTTGGAACTGTTATTGCACTGATTGATCTTATTTTAATTAATTAAAATGTCTTTATTATAATGTTTCATATGCTTTTCTAATTAAATGGAAGTTTTGTGCTTTTCAAACAACTTTTTCTAATGTAAAAACAAAAAATAGACTGTTGCAGAAAACAGTTGCCTTAGTAGGTTTCTTTCAGGGCATTGCAATTAATCCTAGGCTGCTTTTAAAAATACCACCATCATTTTGTTTTGTTTTGTTTATTGTTTTATTTATTGTTTTATTTCATTTGCCTGGATTACATATTTACTTTTCTGTTCTGAGAATTTTTTTTTTTAAAAAAAACAAGTTTTATTAATTTTCAAAACACACAAATCATCATTATCCATTACATGTTTAAACCTTTTTCCATTATAAATTTAACAAGTCAGATAAACTATAATTCTATTTTAAACCATTTCCATATAAACATACAAAAACCTCTTGTCCAATTTCTCTTTACTTCTCTTTACTCTTATTCAATTTCATTATTATTATTTCATCTATTTCTTTCTGACTTAGTTACCATTATTCTCATTCTATATTTCTGCAAGGTTTTATTAATTCTCCCAAAAAAAAAACATATACACACAACACATAAAACATAAAAAAAATCTTTTTGGAAAGTAACTTGGACCCAGGTATCTCTCTCTTCATGGACTTCAATTATATTCATGCTCATCTTACATATCATTACTTATTTTATTTACCATTCTAAACCTTCTATATTAACTTCTCCACATATTTCACTCTTCTTAATTCTATCTTAATTAATCATCTTAATTTGAGTCATTATATTTGTATCTTTTGTCCATTCTTTATTGTCCCTTTGTCTCGTTCCTTAAAAAAAAAAAGAAGAAGTTTCTCCTGAAATCACTAATCAGAGTATGATGCCTTTCTATCTCCCCGCTAAATTAATCAAATTAACCTTTAAAATAACGCCCAATACCCAATCCGATTTTGCTTGGTACATTCTATCTAAATAGTACATCCAGAGTAATTAAATACATAGTTAAACAATAAATCTAAATATTAAAAACAAATACTATAATAGAAATTTTATAATAACATCAATACCATAATCTTATTAAACTCTTTAATTAAAACTCAATATTCTAAACCTCCCCTCATATTATTAAATTTTAAAACCAATCATTATTAAACATTTCAACATTTTAATCTCTTATCAACTCTTAAACCATTTAAGTTTTCTATTTCTAATACAATACTACAATATCATCTTATGTACCTTGCAAAATCTTTTTGAAGAAATTATACTTTATCCTTTATCCCTAAAAAAGATTCCTTTTTTCCCATTTAATTTCAAAACTTTGTAGCTTTTCTCCACCTTTTCCCTTTCTTTCTTCTCCCAACAAACCTTTCTACCCCCCCTTCTAGCCTCTGCCTTACTGGCTTCCCTTCTCTGTCGTGTTCCTTTTCCCTTTTGTTTACTATCATTATATTGATTTTGCACCTTATTTTTCCCTTTCTTAAGTGTTTTTTTAAATCTTAAGTCCTTTATTTCTCTTCCTTTCACTCTTCCTTCTTTCTTGGTCGAGTTCTGAAATTTATTAAAAATGGCTTCCTCTCCTTCTTCTTCTTCTGCTGTCTTCATCTGTTGTAATGTTTGTTGATAGTTAATAAGCGCCATTTCTAAAAAAAGGAAGGCTTCTTTCAAACCAGCTTTACCATTTTTTTTTTGCTTGTTCATAATCTTTTCTCAGTTCCTCAATAGAAAGAGCCATTATAAATCTTTTCTTTTCCCCTTCTTTCTTCTTACAACAACCAGAATATTCCAAAGAAAAAATAAAACAGTCCCAAAGTTATCAATCAGTCCAAACCAAGGCAGAGTTCTCACTTTCTCCTCCTGGGGTAGAATCAATCAAAGAAAAAGAAAGTCCAAATCTGTTTCTTAAAATCTTATTGCAATATATTTTAGTCTTCAAATCCTTAAGGCATCTCCTCCAAGAAAGTCTTAGCATACAAATATATATATATTTTTTAGTCCTCTCTCTTCCCACTCATCGCTTAAAGCCAGTTTTCACCTAAAAGAAATAGGTTTCTTAATATCCACTTATTTATTCCGTAGGAAAAGAGGGTAAGCTTTCCTTTCAGCACCACCAAACTGCCGCTTTTTTCCTCTTCTAGAAGGTATCATTCAGAAAATCATACTTTTCAGGAATTTTGTTAAATATGTCTTAGAGTCCTAGGAACCAAGAAAAACTTTCTCCTTTGAAAAACTTTCTCCACTTCCTCCTGCGCATTCTTACCCGGCTGCCAGCTTCTTTGTGGCGGCCATTACGGACCGCCGCTGCACCGTCTTGGGAAAAGGGGGTTCTGCCGGCCGGGGAGGGGGTCTGCAACACCCCCAAACCCCTCTCCGGATCCCCCCTACCTTCAGCTGCCCCTGCAGGGCAGCCTAGCTCCGTACCCATCCGGATCGGAGCCCCAAAAACGGCTAGCGCAGCAGGGATCGCGCAGCTTCGCGAATCCCTGCCGCTCGCGAAGCCGACAAACCGGAAATCGAGAATTTTTGTTGTATATTTTCCTGCCTCAACACAACACATATAGAATTAACCACTGCTGCAATTTGATGGGTTAAAACAAAAATATGTTTTAATATACATAGAAGAAAAACCCAGAAGAAAATCTGACCCACACTAATTTATGGACCCAATCTCATTCTTTATCATAATGATTCAAGATATTTTCAGAATAATAAACTTGGTGATTAATTATTTAAAACTCATTATTGCATGCCACATGTTATAAGGGAATTTCATAGTTTAATTCACTTTGCCTTACATGGATGGAAATGTATGGTTTAAGGGTGCTAAGTGATACTGTATAAATGAATAGCAATGATGACATATTTTTGGCTTTAGATATTGTATCAACTTCTTGGAACCAAGATAATAGAGGCAATCAACTTAGGACCCTGACTTACACAATTACACTTAACAATCCACTTATTGGAAAATTCACAACTGCAACAGAAAAACAGGTATAAAACTCAATTGTGTCAGATTGCACTGAACTGGCAGAAACTACAGAATACAAAAATTTGTATGCTATATAGAGTTTTATAGGTGATAGCTAGCACCTTAAGTTGCACTTGGTAGCAAATTAGAACCAGTGCAGTTTATGGAATGTAGGTATTATGTGGACATGCTGAGGAAAGCCCATCACTGCTCATGCCATCACATTTCTCATCAGATGAAGCTTTAAGAGAAAGGATTGCAAAGCTATTTATCTTTGGTTATCCATTGACAGAATATCAGGAAAAAAATAGAAGTTGGGCATCATTAATCTTATTCTAGACTTGCTTTCCCCAAAACTAATGTTCTCCAGCTGTCCTTGAGCAACAATTCCCATGATTCCTGATCAGTATTTTGGCTTGGAATTACAGAAAACGAAGTCCAATTTCCACTAAAGGCAATAGGTTGAGAAAAGCCATGTTAGGATATACACAACTATATAGTGCGATCATTTTAAAACTATACTTTCTTTTAGGGCTTTTACACTTATTGTGGTGCAAAAGTTATTTTTGAACATCAGCCATTTTTAAAATAGAGTCCTTCTCTACTTCTGTAATAGGTGCTACATAAACGAAGCCACAAAAGTCGGTCTTACCAAGTAGACGCAGAGGTGGTGACACATGATGTGCCTTACCATGATTACTTCTACACTGTGAACAGTTATAGTATCTCTCATATGTCCAGTCAAAAATGCAGACTCTGGTGAGACAGTTCGTTTAATGAAAGTAGGAAAATTGGAAATCGTAAAAGACAACTTTCCTCAGTTCTGTAAAATTGGTTCTGGTTCTACAGAATTTCTTTATTTCATATGTTAAGGAGAACAAGGAAGCGTTGGAATGCCAGAGTTTAATTTGTACACTTGGATGATTGGAAAATGATCTCTTGATAGAAAAAAAGTTTGCTATTTTTTTTTAGTTTCACTTTTTTCCCCTATGAAAGTTTTAGTAGAATTTTTTTCAAAAACTAATTTTGGCCATATGATCTATGTGCCCTTCAAATTTGTGGATGTATTGTACATCTGTCACCCAAAGTTACAGTACAACAGAGAGTTGTGAAGCAACTAAGTATTTTCTCTATTTCCTCATTCTCTCTCAGTATTTGTGTTAAAGATGTTACCTTAGTGATCATGCTTTGTTTTGTGTATACAGCTTCTTACCTGAAGCTGAAGGCCTGAAAAATTGCTCTCAAAATGGATGAAAATGCTGAACTGATCTATAGTTGTATTCCAATCAGTTGCTAGCCTTATTCTTGTTTGTTACAGGATTTCCTCAGATGTGAAATACAAAAAACAACCTTGGGGGCTTGTCAAGAATATAATTGAAAAGAACACCTGGGGAGGTATCCAGGAAAATTTTAAACAACTTGGTAAGTATTTTGACATCATTCTTGACAATGGTATCCACCGCTTTTATATTTAATTAGCTTGGCTCTTTAGAAATAGTGAAGTGAGCTGCTGTATTTTTAAAGAAACAATACTAAGAACAGTATATTTAGTTTTTCAAATTAATTTAAAGTAATTTATAACTTTTTATGACCCATGTAGTCTGCCTTTCAGTCCTCAGATATGTGTCTACTCTAGCACGTCTCTTATTTTATTTCCTTACCTACTTTACATTCTGCTTTTATTTTCAGAAAGAATAATCGTTATGGCTTATAAATTAAAATATTACATGCAGAAAAAGAGAAAGTTATCAATAAAAAAGAGATAAAAATAATTTAATAAACAGAATATATAAAGAAATACTCCATCACAAGTATAAACAATTTTAGTAGCATCACATTCTTTTAAAATTCAATAAATTTTCCCTTCTTCCCATATTTCATCTTTCTTAATATAAAATACTTAATATAAAAGCCTTAAAGCCTCATCTTTTAATCATGATCAGCAAAAATTCATAAAAGGTTATCAGAAATAACAACTTATTTATTTTAACTTTGATCAAATAAACTGTACAAATTTACTTTTAACAAACTTTACCTTTAATCCTTTCAAATAACACCCTAGAAATTTATTTTTCATCATTTTCTTTGTCCCTTCTCACAAAATTCTTCAGATTCAAGTCTTTTTTTCTAAATCTGATATAGAAAAGCTATTCAAGTCACTCCTTTGGTTTTGTTATTTGTACATTTCTTTTAATTATTAAAACACCAGTCAATTTCATTTGTATATCCAATGTAATATCTTTTTTTCATATTATTCTTTTAGCCTGTCATCAGTTCAGTGATTTTCAGTAAAATGTGTTCCTCTTCCATAACATCTTATAAAACACAGCCTATCTTTAATGACAGACATTCTTAAAATTAACTTCTGGGTGTATTGGTCACAAATGTTCTTCAATACATCAATGTGAAAGTATTTTGCTCCATTCAGTATTAATAACTCAAATTTAATGGTAATTTTTTATTCATTCTGATCCCTCTAGTGTCCATCCTTCAGAGTTCCAAGCAATCATTTTTTCTTTTAAGAATTTAAAACAACAGCATTTTCTCAGGCAAAGGTTTTCTAATTAATTTCAAAATGTTACTTCAAACCCATCTGGACTATTTATCCATTTGTAACTTTCCAAAATTAACATTCTAAAATATTCTTTTTCAGTTTGTTCCATAAACAGAAATCTTGAAAGTCGTTTAGCTTGTATTAAAAACATCTTTCAAGAATTGAAAGAACTTGTATTAAAAACATTTTTCAAGAATTGAAAAAAATTCACTCTGTTTTGTAAAACTTGTCATTCCAAAGATTGCGAATAATTCAAACGCAGTTAACAAGCAATTTCAGAAGTATACAAACCCATAAAGACTCTGACCATGTTTCGGATGAGATGGCAATTCCCTCATCTCCTCTGACCTCTATTCTGCTGTAGACTGATCTTGCAGTCTTCTTTTGAGGAATTACTGTTTGGAGTGCTTGGCTGATCTCAAATGCTCTCCTTGTCCAGAGAGGAATCATCTTTATTCCATCATGGTCTTAATGGAGCCATATTCAGCTCACCATTTCTTTCCTGGAAATTTTGAACCAGTTTATGATAATTCCAGGGTAGAAAAGCAAAAAATAAAATAAAAACATATTACTATTCCAGTTTTGTTTCTATGTATCATAATGAAATTTTCAGGTTTATTCTGTATGAAGCTCAAGATTTAATGTCAAAATCAAGTAATTGGATTATCTTGGCTTCACTTTCTTTTTTTCTAGAATGTAACATTTATATCAAATGCAAATTTCTTGTTTTTTCTTAAGTGGAAAATGCAGTTTCTGCATTTAAGTTGGCAGATCTGATTCTTGCCATACTGCTGACGTAAACTACCATTTTGTAAATATAAGTGATTATGTGTTAAGAGAGAGAGACATAAAGAGAAAGAGACATGAATAAAATTAATGAACTTCTTTTTAGTAGTGGAGTTTGGGCCAGCAATCTGTAAATATCATAAAACATTTCCTTTGCACTTGCCTGCCAGATGTTATTAGACCAATTTCCCACAATTTTTAGCTGGCATTAAATTTTAAAAAAAGAAAGAAATTATAAAGTAAAAACAGAAACTGGGAAGACTGAATCTGTCATTTGTAGAATCAGAATTACTAGTGGAAGAATATGCAATAAATAAACCTATTGAGGATCGTGCAAAACCTGGAGTCCGAAGAAGGAGAAGATGGGTTTTACAGCGGAATGCAGAAGAGATACTTCCTAAACACTCTATACAAGATTCCACAGAAGACAAAAGAATAATACCTCTTGGGAATGTAGGTGGGTTCAAGTAGAAATATTTCTTTTTCCAGCAATTTATGAAACTGAAGGTGTTGTTCCTTTTAGTACCAGAGGTCATAGTATTTCTGCAATAGTGTCATACAGGCTTTTCTTGTTTGTCCATATGCAAAAAATCCAGAGTATTTCAACATAAGTATGTGTGGTGCAGCTAATTGTAAATAAAGTTCAAGGACAATGCTGTCCTTATATTCTGATAATTGACATAAAGTACTTGATATATAATTTATGCAGCGATGTTTGTATTTTTCCATCTAGAACCACTATTTTAAATTCAGAAATAATTAGGAGCCTTTTTGTCAAATTGCAAGATATGTCACTTACTTTCTAGAATACTGAAGCTTTTCTTGCTGTGTGAGTTATAGCACATTGAATGAGATTTGCATAGGGCCATGTACTAACTGCTTTAAAAAAATTGAATGTGTTGAAATCCTTATGCCATAATTTAATGTACCATCTCCCTTTGCCCCTTCCAACTCTTAATTTTAGATAATTTAAGTGGCAGCATTTAGTGACCTTGGCTGCTCTGAAAAAGTCTAAGCAGGGTTCTGGTCTAGTTTATGGGTGGGAGACCTACCCAAAATAGGAAGCTGTGGGCTAGAATAATAAATTTAAAAACAAAACCCAACATAGAAAAAGGCAGAGACTAACCAGTTCTGTACTGTTACCAAGAAAATATCATGGGCCTGCCCATTTAGTCACCAGATACAAGTTTAAGTCAAGCAAGTTTTTGGTTTATCTTCTGTTCAAAAAGCATCCAGGTCAGGCATAACCTTGAACTGTTTTCCTGCTTTGGAGGAGACAAATCTTCAGCAAAGGGATTTAATAAAATCAGGTTAACTGAATTTCAAGATTAGAATGTTGTAACAGTATTTTCCTTGCTTAACAGGAATGAAGAAGAATGCTACAAATAAAACCATCATCATCATAGTGGCAATGAGTATTTTGTAAGTACTTGCTTGATACTTCTTTTGGTTTAAGACTTCTTACAGCAGCTAAATGAAGGCTGGGTCTGACTGGACACATCTTACAGTTGCTATTCAAACCTATAGTGTGGCGATAAAAGTGGTAATTTCTCTGCTCCTATTGCATCTGCAGAGCATCACCTATCGATCCTGTTGCGGATCACCCAATCTCTCCTTGGCTGTGTGTGTGTGTGTGTCAGATAATCATCTTCAGGGCCATTCAGAAGAATCTGTTGAACACATGTCGGATAAAATTGCTTGGATTTATAGTGCAAGTCTATATGAGATACCTAGAGAGTCATCTTGCCCAGTAACTTGCTAACAGTTTGATCCTGTTGGACCTAAGAAAGTGGACAGAACCCTCTGTGCTTTCAACCGCCTGTCAATTAGCCCCTTATCCCTTCTGTCTGGTAGAAGCCTCCAGGAGGGTGACCGATAGGTGGGTTCATGCAGTAATAAATTCCTCACTGCAAGAGGAGACATTCCTAGGATCTTTTAAGGAGGGCCTGGTTTGTCCTCTTCTTAACAAAAATATCTCTCAACCCCACCTGCCTGGACAACTTTCATCCAGTTTGTCATCTTTCCTTTTTGGGGAAGGTGGTGAAATTGATGGTTGCTTGGTAGCTCCAGGGAGTCCTGGATGAAAAAGATTCCCTAGATAGCTTTCAGTCAGGATTTAGGCCCAGCTATGAGACACAGACGGCCTTGGTTGCACTTATGGACAATCTATGGCAGGAATGGGATGGGAGTAGTGCAACCATTCTCACTTTCCTTGGCTTCTTAGCGGCCTTTGATACCATCTACCGTGGTTGTATGGTTTATTTAACAAACACACATGAAGAAAAATTTAATTTTGCCCACTGATATTTAGTCTTTTACCTGTGAAGATTGATACTGTATATGGATCATTTCTCAAGCTAGGAGAGCAGAAAAGATAAGCTTTTTGTGGATATAGTGCACTTAAGAAGTAATATAAACCTTTGGAAAACTCGATTGGTCCAGGAAGATGAAAAAAGACATATTTAATTGACTGAATTTTATTTTATTCTGTTTGATCTGCAAACAGAAAGTATAAAGGAGAATATTTGTGGCTCAAGGTTGAAATGTGGGCTCCTTGGTGCTCTCTGAGCTTGCTTGTTTTCTTGCAGATGTTTCATTACCAAACTAGGTAACATCATCAGTACTAGTTAGGAGTGTGGTTTTGCTGTCTATTATGTTTTCTTTATCCACTTTCTAGAGCCACAATTTTATTTATAGTTAGGCCCAAATGCCACTAAGCCTGAATGTGAGATTACTAAAATGTGTTGTGAAAAGACAGTTTGTATCGTTTTTACAGTGCTATATATACCTTACACTTCCAAAACCTTTAATTATCTTGCTAAATTTGCATGAAGCTATAAATATTTATATTATTTATTCTTGCCATTAAGAATGCTTTTGCAGGAATTAGTAATGATAGTGAACTATCCATTTGACTGGATTTTTTTTCAGTTTAATTCTACTGGTTTTTCTGAATGTGGCACTGTTCCTGAAATTGTCAAAGATTGAGCGTGCAGCTCATTCATTGTACCATGTTCAACTTCAAGAAGAAGGGTCAACAACGTGAGTATTTTTTGTTATGTTCTGTCATCTGTCTCTTCCTCCATGCTCCCAGTGGGCTAATATCTAGTTAGTGGAAATGTTAGATTTACATATTGCAGTTCACCTGAAAAATTGAAGCTAGTAAAAAATGTACAACTTAGCAAAAATAGTTTAAAATTATTCAAAAGATCTGTATTGGAATGTTATCAAACTAGTTCCAGGTGGTTTTAGACATAATAGGCTCATTAAGCTCTTCAAACAGAATATACAGTATAATGGATAACTTCTTCCACCGAGATTCAACAGAAATGGCCTCTGGATGGTATTTTATCAGAGATTTGCTGTGCAGTCACCTAAGAAAAGCATTAGGTCTCCTATAATACCATACTACCGTATTTACTTACTGATATTGCTGAGTTTTGTTAATTTTTGGTATTGGTTGATGATTTATCATAAAAATTGAAGACATTGATCCATCCGTGGAAGAAAATGGTTAAGATTTTCTAGTGCATGTCTATGTTGCCACTTTGCTTGATTGGTGGTGGGCCAATTAAAATATTTCACTGAAGGCACCTAATCAGTTTAGATTGTCTGGGGATGTCTAGATTTTTTTTTTCCAGCTGCCCACCAGGTTGTACTTTGGAACTCAGAGCAGAGGTAAATAATTGCCCCAAGCCATCTTTCCTGGATTACAGATACAAAAGGGATTCCTTAATTCTATGTAGGAGTTCCAGAAAATAATGCTGGGAGGAAATGAATTGTGATTGCAATCAACATAGTTATATACTCAACATTATTACTGCTGCCCTACAAAGCAACCTTGACTATGTGTCAAAATAGTCGAACAATTGGCAACTTCAAATCTCAACCAACAAATGCTCTGTGTTACACATTGGCAACAAAAATCAGAACACTAAATACAAACTGGACGGATATGACCTCGTGGACGACCCTCACTCTGTGAAGGACCTAGGAGTACTCATTTCAAAAGGTCTAAGCCCCAGACACACTGTAACAGCATTGCCAAAAAGGCATTAAGAGTTGTTAACCTAATTTTGCAAAGCTTTTTCTCCATAACATTGCACTGCAAACCAGGGCATAAAAAACCTTCGCCAGACCAATTCTCGAATACAGCTCGTCTGCCTGGAATCCACACTGTATAACGGACATTAATACAATTGAACAAGTCCAGAGGTATTTCACGAGAAGTGTACTCCACTCCTCAGCTGTCAGTAGAATACCTTATGCCACCAGGCTTGGAATTTTGGACCTAGACAACTTAGAACTATGCCACCTACTGTCTGACTTAAGCTTAGTACACAAAATTGTCTGCTACAAAGTCAATGACTACTTCAGCATCAACCACAACAACACATGGGCAAACAATAGATACAAACTCAAAGTAAACTGCTCCAAACTCAATTGCAGAAAATACAACTTGAGCAACAGAGTGGTCAATGCCTGGAACTCACTACCTGACTCTGTTGTTACATCCTCAAACCCCCAAAACTTTAACCTTAAACTGTTTACCGTGGACCTCACTTCATTCCTAAGAGGTCCGTAAGCGGGTATGCATAAGCACATCAGCGTGCCCAGGGGTGGGATTCTACCGGTTCTATCCTGTTCTATAGAACCCCTTATTAACTTTTTAAGCCATTCGGAGAACCAGTAGTTAGAAGCAATCTCCTTTTGTTTTTTTCCATCCTTGTTACATTCTTGGCAGAAAGCCTAGATTTCCTGTCTCCGGAGCTTATGAGGCTTTCTTAAAGGGGAAGGGTTGTTTTAAGATTTTTACACTGCTGTTCGGAGGAAATAGTTCCCTGGACAATCAGCACTTTGAAGAAATAATTGAATAACAAAGCAAAGCTTTTAGTGATAGGGAACCAAGATGAGTGACATTCAGCAAGGCTTCTTGGCTAGCTAGAAAGATTGACATTCAAATGTGAGTTTACATACTCTTTCTGAGTTTTGGTCTAAAACTGGTTTTTGTTGAAGGTTAGTTCTGTGCTTGGTGAAGTTTAATTCTGTGTTTATTGATGGGATAATTTTCCCTATTCAGTTTCAACAAGCAACAGCTACTGTTGTGATTTAATTATTTGTATTACGTTTGAATTTTTTCTTGCCTCATGTTTTTTTTTTCTATCTGGGAAGGGGGTGTCCCTTCACTGCTTTAATACTATCTGGCACTGTCCTTTTGGGGTATACTTCCAAGAGGCATGATGCAAACTTGGCACAGATTTTTTTTACTGCCTTTCTGGGGGGCATGTGACCTTTCCTTAAATCTGGATGATTTCCTTAGGATATCTTGTGAGGTGAGTAAGACCAGCTGGTATTTTTAAGTGATTCAAATGGATCTAAGGATTGCTTTTCCTGGGTGTGCTTTTTCTGGAGAACTTAAATGACCTCTCTGCTAAAGGGTTTCACTTTATGAGGAAGAGTTGGCTGCTTGATAGTTATCACTGCATTTTAACTATTTTCATTCCTCAAGGTGCTCTGGCACCCTGCCTGATTTGTAACTCTGGTTTGCAGGTATTTTTAATCTAATGATTGGTATTTAGGGCAGCTTTTTGCAAGCAAAGAAGCTGTTTGTATTTTTGTACAGGTAATCCTTGACTTACAACAGTTCATTTAGTGACCATTCAAAGTTACAATGGCACTGAAAAAAGTGACTTTTTCACACTTATGACCGTTGCAGCATCCCCACTGTCATGAGAGGCCAGGTCAGGAGAAGCGCCCCTTGACATGAGTGATGTCGAGTTGGCCATGCCCACCCAGTCACATGACCACCAAGCCACACCTACCAACTAAGCCACGCCCACAGAACTGGTTGTTAAAAAAACTGAATCCAACCCCTGTGTGTGCCTACCGTCCCTGCCCTACTGTTCTCATTTATTTGTACTCATCTATTATGTATATACTTATACCTTTTTATACTTATATGTTTATATGTTATGCTCAAACTTATACTTGTTTTCCCATACATGCTTGACAAACTAAACTAAATAAATAAAAATAAATTAATATTTTTTGGCAATAGTACTGGCAAAGTATTCTTACCAATATCCATTGTTACTGCATCTGTAGATTTGATTCTAGTGACCCTAATGTTACCTTTACCCTTCATTGGTAGAGAGGAAGAAGAATGGCCACTATGATGTCTATGTGAGGTTCTTCATGGATAAAAGGACTTGCATTTATTTGGAAATTAATGCCTGACAGCATGTATGTGCCTGGATTTGAAAGGTGATCTAAACCTTTTTGAGGGGGGGGTACCATCTACCATGAAGGAGAAAGATGTGTCCTCTCCTAAAGAAACTATCTCTTGATACAGCAGTATTAAACAGTACCCACAATTTCTTTTTTTTAAAAAAAAAAAACTTTATTGATGACAAAACCAAAATATCAAACAAACACAACACGTAGAAGAAGAAAGAAAAGAAATAGAAAAAAAGAAAATGATTAAAAAACTAACAATTCTACTATCGACAGTCTATGGTTCCTTGTTCATTATCAATATTGGTGATACATTTACAAATACATCTTATTGCGAATATATAATTATGATTTACATTTTACGTTATTTACTAATATATTTTCTATTTTTGTTCTATCCAATCATACCAGCATTCCCAGCTTCTATAATATTCTGATGTTTCTTTTTCCTTAAGTGCTAAGGTTAACTTGTCCATCTCTGCACAGACTGTTATCTTCTGTATAACCATCTCCTCTGTTGGAATATCTGCTTGTTTCCAACACTGCAAAGGTTATTCTGGCTGAAGTAAGAATATGCAGTATTATATATTTAACATTTTTAGGAATTTGTCTATTAAATATCCCCAATAGGAAGAATTCTGGTTTTAATTCAATTTGCTCTGCCGTTATTTCCTCTAACCATTTGCTGGAAATGTAAAAAGAAACAGGGAACATTTTTTCATATGTGGTGGTCCTGCACTGAGGCCCAAAGATACTGGCATAGAACAGTACCCACAATTTCTAACCTTCCATTTTGAGGAAAGAATTTGAAAAACGTATTGGGACTTTAACTATAGAAAATTCTAAAACCATTATCTAAACCAGGCGTTGCCAACCTTTTGGACCTCAGGGACCACCAAACTCATAATTTTAGATCCCAGGGACCACTAACTGGTTCTGTGTGTGTGGCCAAATTTGTGGGTGTGGCTTGGTGGTCCTGTGACTGGCTAAGCATGGCTTGTATGTAAATATTATAAATATTTATATAAATATTGAATTTTTTTATAAAAAAGAGCAACTTTTACCCAAAATCAGGCAAAGCAGGCAGGCAGATTGAGTTGCTCACAGAATCACAGATTCATTCAGAAATCTTATCTATCTGCCATTGGGTAGCTCAGTCTGTCACATAAAATTTGCTTGCAAGCAAACTCATAAAATTTGCTAGCAAACAAACTCACAAAATTAACTCACAACACACTATGTATGAAAATATTAATTTTTTTTATTTAAAAAGAGCAACTTTTACCCAAAATCGGGCAAAGCAGGCAGATTGAGTTTCTCACAGAATCATTCAGTGATCTAACTATCTGCCATCGTGTAGCTCAGTCTCTCACATTTGCTTGCCGTGAGTCTGCACTGAATTTGCTTGCAAGCATACCTTCAGTCCTAAGGGAGGTTCGGCTGTACTTAAAAGCAGAGCCGAAGATCTAAAGACTAGCTGGAAAGCAAGAAATCCAACCATTTTCTGCTTCCTAGCTCAGCGGTCGCCAACCGGTAGGCTGCGGCCCACTGGTGGGCCTGAGAAAATTTTGGTGGGCCGCAGAGAAATCTCACCCCCAGAGCACCCCACAAAGCAATTAATCCAGGCTGCACAGAAACACAAGGCTGCGCCGCCCACATGGCCTGCGGGAACCCTCCCCACCCACTCACTCCTTACCCAGCAACCTTGCGTGCTAAATTTCTACTTTTCCTTTTTCCGACCATCATCTGTTCTGCTGTGCCGGGAGATTTAGATTAGCTAGGAAGCAGAAAATTGAGATAGTGAAGAAATATTTTATGAATACATAAATAAATTCTGATTCAGCCACACTCAAAGACCCAACTCTGGGGAAGCAGTACTAAGGGGAATTTCCTTTCATTTAAGCTTTGCTTTTATTAAAAAAGAAAACTTGCATACTTGGAGTGCTTGAACATTATTATTTTTTTTCAAATGAGAACATTCTTAGTAATGGGAAAGGCCAAGAAGTCATGACAGAGGGTCTGAAAAAATATCATAACTGTCCTGCTGTAGCACAGGAAAAAGTAAATTAGAAATCCCTAGTACAATTGTTGTCACTAACATGAATTCACTAGATAATGCATGGAAGATTTGAATGCATACTATTTACTTTTGCCAGTACTGGCAATTTACTTGGGCAGTCACTTAGTTGTTTGTCATTTTGAATGATCCTATAATCTATTATTTTCACAACAATATGGGAAATCATGGTGCACCCAAATGGTAATAGAACAATGTCTTAGGTTTGCAAAAATTGTACAAAATGGTAATATTCTCTCTTAGAAAGTTTTCAGTTTTCCTTAATATTTTTTGATAACATAACTGAAATTCTGTCCACCATGTGGTAATCAAGGAACTGTCTCAGTGTGGATTTTTCTAGTAAAATTAATATAGAGATAAAAGCATGATAAAATAACATGCTTGATGAAGCAAATATATTACATTTTAATGTTCTGTTCTTTCCTTAGTCTCGCCCTTAATGTGGCATCGAAGGAGAAAACTCATCATAACATGAATCAAGCCCAACATGTGAAAGGGGTGTTAAAGGATTCTATAGCATTGCTTGAACAGGTAAGTATTCTAATCCTTATTGTTTTGAGCTGTTGTATATGTAAGTATAGACATCATTATGAATAACTAAAGCAGTTTTTTCCATCCTAGGAATTTTAAGATGTATGGACTACAACTCCCAGAATTCCTAAGTTAGCATTCTGGAAATTACAGTGCACACATTTTAAAGCTGCCAAGGTTGAGAAACACTGATCTAGAGCATTAGGAAACAACATTGCTTTTCATTTACTTTCTAACAATTCTTGATGATTATAGTAAGTTAATGGTATAAAAACTGGTTTAGCTCTAAGTCTCTTATTATATTCAGCAAGAATGGCTAGCTGTAACACTATAAACTAACTGCTATACTGAATCTGCTGTCATCTGAGAATAATGCTAAAATGCATTGTACAATCTTCAAATAGGAAAGTTCATATGGTTCAGTACCGGTAGTAGTTGGCTAAAATCTGAGGCCAAATGACCTCAGCAAATGCTGAGGATTGTGAAAAGCTCAGTGTTCTAATGACTGGTGATCCACCCTAGAAAAGAGGGATGGCATAGAACCAATTAATACCAGAAAGAGACAGCTTTTAAAAACAGTTTGGATATGAGGTGACCAACTATCAATATAGTGATCTTGCAACAGTCAAAGGTCTTCCTTCTGATTATCCTGACAAATAAGAAGGTAGACTAGGGAAGCAGGTCTAAAGGAGTCCTTAAGCATACAAGAATATAAATTGGAGAATCTATCAATGGCAGGACACTAACATGAATGGAGATAGATGTTGAGACTAGTGAAGCCAAAATCAGAGAGACTGGAGAGCCTTTATCCTTTCCCTTTGTTGTTTTGTGTTGGTTATAATTATGGAGATTTCTTAAAAGGTTCTGAACTCTTAATAGACAATTTCCTTGGTGCCAATAATAGTACAGAAGAAACCTAGAGCTTAAATAAATGCTGGCTGACTTTCATTGGTTTTATATACCGTATGATTGACAGGGATGATGTTATCTCAGTCTGAGATACTGTTCATAATTAAAATAGCACTACCTAGTTTTCGTTTTAGTTTACTTTATTGTCACTGCACCTCGTACAACAAAATCAAACACCATCTTCAGTGCACATCATGACCACAAAAATAAACACAAACACACATCCTTCACACTCCACACATTGAACTGAAAACTCCTGACACCGCACCAACATTGCACTATACAGTACAATTCAAAAGAGCTACTGCCCTGGGATAGTAGCTGTTTTTCAGCCTATTTGTCCTTGTTTGTATTATTCTGTACCATCTGCCAGATGGTAATAGTTCAAAAAAAGGGTTCCCAGGATGAGATGGATCTTTGAGAATGTTTGGAACTTTCTTAAGGCAGCGGGAGCTATAAAGCTCTTCCAAAGAGGGGAGATGGCAACCAATGATCTTCTGGGCAATGACGTTAACCCTCTGGAATGCTTTCCTATCTGCCCCTGTGCAATTGGCAAACCATACAGAGGTGCAGTATGTTAAAATGCTCTCTATGGTACAGCGGTAGAAGGTCACCAGCAGTTTTTCATTCAGTTATTGTTTTCTGAGAAGTCTCTGCTGGGCCCTTTTGACCAGTGCTGCAATGTGAGCACCCCAGGTCAGGTCCTCTCTTATGGTAATACCCACAAACTTAAAACTGACCACGTGCTCCACTCGGTCTCCATTGATAAGCAAGGGCTGGATGTCTGATCTGTTCCTTCTATAGTCCATTATAAGCTCCTTGGTCTTATTGGTGTTGAGGACCAAGTTATTGTCTCCTCACCACAAAAGCAACCAGTCTACCTCATCTCAGTAGGCAGACTCATTCCCTGCCCCCCCACCAGAGATGAGTCCCATCACTGTTGTATCATCTGCAAATTTAGTAATAGTATTAGTAGCATAAGCAGGAATGCAGTCATGCACATAAAGAGTATAGAGTAAGGACTCAACACGCAACTCTGTGGTGTACCAGTGTTAAGAATAAGGGTTGAAGAGCATGATTATCCAATCTGACCCTCTGTGAGTGGCCAGACAGGAAATCCATAATCCAAAGGCAGATTGAATAAGAAAGTCCAAGGTCCAGAAGTTTAGACACTAGTCTATGTGGAAGAATTGTGTTAAATGCAGAACTAACATCTACAAAAAGCATCCTCACATAGCCCCCCTTCCCCCGCTGTTCTAGATGAGTCAGAGCACTGTGAAGAGTGATGGCTATAGCGTCCTCTGTAGATCTATTTCTTCTGTATGCAAACTGGTGTTTATCAAATGTATGTGGAAGACCAGAAATGATGTGCCGGCAGACCAATTTCTCAAAGCACTTCATGATGATAGGAGTGAGTGCCACTGGTCTGTAATCGTTGAGGTTACCTACCAAGTAAACTGGTGTTCTCCCACTCTTTCTATTTTTGCAAGTCCTTATTAAGGGCTCCAACTGAAAAGGGGATGTAAAAATACTTTCTTGTGAAACCTAGAACTGCTTTGGGTAGGAAATAATTACATTCCTGATTTAAAGTATAATTTGTTGGGTAATCCTTATGCAATCTTTATCACCTCAGCTGAAGACCTCATTGTCTGTGCTCCAGCATTGTTTTGATCACCTAAACACAACCAAAGATGGGGAGCCTGAAAGTTGATGTCATCAAAACCAGCTACTAAAAAGAATGAAAATATATTGCTGTGATAGTAATGCTGCTTTTTTATTGCAGTCTTTTCATCACAATACTTTCGCATATAATAAATGTTATTCTGGAATAAGCTTCTTTTAAAAAGAATTGTATTGTGAATTTGTGGATCTTCCGGACCCACTTGATGTCTTTTTGTGTGTGTGCGTGTGTGTGTGAGAGAGAGAGAGAGAAAACTTTCTTGAGCTGTGAATACTGGTGGAAATGAATGATTGAGAACACAATGAGAGCTGATAATTATTTATACATTGCAGATAAACACTGCAGCAAACCACTGTACTGTACTGTGTATAAAGTAATAAACACTAGATTTAGATGGAAACAATCTTAAGTGTTATGAAAAATGCAATATAAAATGCTTGGTTTATCATATGCAAAGTTTTTACTTCTTCCTTTTATCTATGTAAAAAGTCTTCAAAACTAAATTGTTACAACATTTGTTCCAGATATGAATAAATCTAAATTTTACATGTAGCTTTTTCTGTTTGGGGGCAGTTTGTTTTGTGGATTATAACATTTCTTCCTCTTAGTCGCTATCATTTCAATTCTCAGAGTTTCTCAGGGAATTTTCATTCATGTCTTTAAAAATGATCAACCCTACATATCTTTAAAAAGTAACAAATGTATAATTTTATTTATATATTACAAACTTAGAGAGCTCTTTATAAGAATAGACTTATCATTTTATAGTTTTATAGTGTTCAAGGTCTGGGTGATCATATCCCTTGTAACAATTAAAGATGCAGACTGTGATATCTAAGTGTACTATTCTGATTAAGAAAACTAACTATCCCATAAAAAAATGTAACTGTACTTCTTATAAAAAAGACCAAAAACATTGAAAGTGTGATGCAAATAAAATTATGAACATACAGTACTGTGTAGTTTTGATTATGCTGTGTATCATTCTGTTAAGAGGAAGTAATCCCATTTGTGACTTCGGCTTAGGAGCCTTTATTTTCATTTGTCTTTTGTCAAAATTGCCTTTTTAGTTCTTATATATAAAGCTAGTTTTAATTGATGAACCGGAAACACCCAAGGAATTTTGAAAAATAATTATTAATCACACTGTGCAACTACAGTAGTACTAATGTGGATGGCAATGTATTAATAAGTGTAAACTACTATACAGTTTCTTAGTTTATAATTTGATAAAATAACAAAAAGAATTGCGGACTCATCTTTGTGAAGTGTCCTTACCATATTATGTTACTGAAACACATTACCCAAACACAAAGGAATGGCAATAGAACCTCCTCCGTTGTGATGCCCTACTTATACCCAACCTGCATTTATAAAAATCCTTGCTAAGAAAAACGAAGTGATATTTTCAGGCCAAGTAAGGCATTCCTTTTGCAGTATAATGCTAGATTCCTTTAAAAAAAGAAATTATTGGATACAAATGTGTTGCGTGTCATCTCAAAATATTGAACACAAATCAAACGGAATATGAATATAAGTGCTTTGAAACATACACTAGTTTTTTCCAGATGAATTTACAAAAAAAAAGTTAAAGAAATGATTGGTTCGTTAGTGGGAGAAGATAGCAAGGAGGGTGATGGGCGGTAGGGAGAAAGCAGAACTGCTTAATTCATTCTTTGCATCTACCTACACAAAAAGGGGGGAAAACCCAATCTCTTGAAAACGGTACCATAAAAGACAGGTTAGGAATGCAAATCAAAATAGGCAAGAAATAATAAGAAAATACCTGTCCATTCTAAATTAGTTCAAAACACCAGGTCCAGGTGGATTAAAATCAACAATGGATTCTGAAGAAGCTGGCAGACATGATCTTAGAACCACTGAACTCTTATCTTTCAAAGATCCTGGAGCACCAGGGAACTATCAGTTGCCTGAAAAAGGGTTGACATCAGTGGTGGGATTCAAATTTTTATACTACCGGTTCTGTGGGCGTGGCTTGGTGGGTGTGGCAGGGGAAGGATACTGTAAAATTTCCAATCAGATATGGTATTTGCCAGTTTTCCGAACTACTCAAAATTTCTGCTACTGGTTCTCCAGAACTGGTCAGAACCTACTGAATACGTCTAGCTGGCATCATTCCTATCTTCAGAATGACAGCAGAAACCTTAACTTTATCTTATGTATTTACAACAGTTGTAGCATCCTGGTGTTATGTGATGGCCATTTGCAACCTTCCTAGATGTCTTCCAACAAGTACAAGTCAATGCGGGAAGCCAGATTTGCCTACTACATGATTCACTTAACTGCGGTGATTCACTTTAACAACCATGGCAAAAAAGATCATAAAATTGGCCCTGACTCACTTAACAACTACTTTGCTTAGCCACAGAAATTGTGGTCCCAACTGTGATCATAAGCCAAGGAGTACCTGTATAAACATAATGGTTGTTCAACTAATGTGTAATTACATTTTTTAAAATGGTAAATTAAGACCTTTTAATTCTTTTGAAAGGATTGATAAAATAGGAAATGAGAACTTACTCATCCGCCAGTCAAAGGCATGGCTAAAACCATCACTAGTTTATAATTTGAAATGTTTTAGAAGGAAATCGATTTTTCTGTTTTAGTGCATCTTAGTGGCAGGAAATGGGCAATGTGCAGACGTACCATTAGCTTTGCCTTTATGTGTGAATATTAAGAACTGAGAATAAATGTATGTTTTGACTACATAATGGATACAAATAGGTTTCTTTTTTATGGCACTGTGTTCTTCCTTATAATCGTTTTTTTTTTTTTTTGCCTGCCACTACCAAAATAGGTCTGAAAAGTTTTTGCCTGTCACAGATGTAATCAATCGGTCCAATATCCTTCTTGTAATTACAGCATGGTATCATAAATTTGCTGAAGTAATTTAATCATCGATGGACCTAACTCATTTGATGGAGGGGGGGGCAGAAATGCAAGACAGCCAAAATAAGCGGACCTGATCGATTGGAGGGCGAAACTTGGGAGCAAAACCTTTTGGGACATGAAAGTAATAAGATATGAATCGTGCATCAATTCAACATATTTTAGCTCCTGACAACATAATTTAACTACCGTATATGGGTTGGATTTAATGTGAGACCAAAAAGTAATTGGCAATAGTACTGTAATCTAATATATGTTGTTTAAATGATCTCCGCTCTCCGTATTTATAGTAAATGAAATCTTCACCACGTATATTGTGGTCCAGTTCTCTAAAGACTATGCTCACAGTCTGTAGAGATTCTCAATCATGCAGTTCATGGTTGTCCCAAAGGAGGAAATTTTTCAGGAGGCAATTGGACTTTCTTGTTTTTTTTCTTTGAAGACATTTCATTTCTCTTCCAATAAGTTTTTTCAGCTCTAACTGGATGGTGGGGAATGGAAGGATTTATACTCCTTGGAGACAGCTGGTCATTTGCATCCTTTTAGAGGATGTTATAGCACTTGGAGGTTTATCTGTTCCTTAGGGTCACCTGAGTAGTGCTTCTGGTTCCTCTAGTCTGCAATTTTTTCTCTGGAAATCCATTCCCACTCCCACACCATTCAAAGGGTGTTCATCCCAAATTATATAGCTAAAAGTCTGTAGAAATTCTCAGTCCTCCATGGTTGTCCCAAAGGTGTCTTTTCAGGAGGCAACTGGACTTTCTTCTTTTTTTTTTTTGAAGAAGTTTTGCTTCTCATCCAAGAAGCTTCTTCACCTCTGACAGGATAATCCTTCTATTCCTCGCTATCCTGTCGGAGCTGAAGAAGCTTCTTGGATGAGAAGCAAAACGTCTTCAAACAAAAAAGAAGAAAGCCCAGTTGCCTCAGAAAAAAGCACCTTTGGGTCTACTACCCTCGCAGCTGTTCTACAAGGCAAGCCTCGGCACTAAACTGGGATTAAGGTAAAAACCACGCCTTCGCCATCCTCCCGGCAGTGGGCCGATCTCCGTGATGTCACAAGGGGGAAACAAGACCGGCGTTCTAAATAAGCCGGAAGCCTCAGGTTGCAGCGAGGACACTTTGAGGGGAAATTGCAAGAAGGGAGAGGATCGTGCCTCGAAAGCAGGAGGAGTGATTCAAATAAAAGAAGGCGGAGCGCGTCGAGAATCGCACCAGTCGTCGTGGCCAAGGAAAAGGGGGCGCTGGGAGCCCCCCCCCTCTTTCGTTCCTTGCCTTTACGGAGTTGGAAGTCAGAGAATCACGGCGCGGGGGGGGGGAGTGACGGACTTGGCAAGAACTGCTTACAAGAAGGTTACAACGGCGGTGCTTTGCTCTGACGGAACAGGCGGGGGTTGGGGGCGGGTTCAGTAATAATAATAATTACTAATAAGCGTGTCCTACGGGGAGGAATCCTGTGCTTTATCTAAAGGATCCATTCCTTACAGGAATCCTGTATTGCTCGGTCGCAGGTAGTTAAGTGGAGTTACTGCTAAGTGGAGTTACCGGTAGGAGAAAGGTCTTTCCGCCCGTGAGCGTTTACCGACGACTTTGGTCTGCACGAATCTTTTTTTTTTTCCCTTCAAAATCCAGCGTTCGGCGACTTACTTTCACCCAAAGTTCTTTCAAGCGTTGTCTGATCCATGCGGCCCGTGGTCGGAGCAAGGTCCCATTGTTGCTGCTACCGTACGGGGCTGAAACATGGTCCAACGGGCAGGGAAAAGAGCGAGAGCCCAGGAGATGGAAGAGACGCTCTGTTGCTGCGAGTATCTCGATCGGAAGGGCCAAAGGAGCCACCTCGCGGCGTGTCTCTGCGAATGCGAGGACCTCGACGAGTGCTGTGAAAGGTAAGGAGTGGCGGCCCTTTCGGAGGATTTCCTCAAGCTTGGGAGTTGAAGTCCTCCAGGCTTAAAGTTACCACGGTTGGAGACCCCTGTTATATAGTACGTGTTAGGATAGATTGTTGGTCCCACCCATAGGGCTGGTAGACTTAGACTTCAGCTAACTTTATTGCCACTTTGAATGTACACTAATCAGCATGCATTAAAACAAGGGTCTTTAAACTTGGCAAGTTTAAGAGTTGTGGACTTCAACTCCCAGAATTCCTGAGCTAACATGACTGGAGGAGGAATTCTGGGAGTTGAAGTCCACAAGTCTTAAAGCTGTCAAGTTTGAAGACCCCCGCATTAAAACGAAATTTCGCTGCGTACACCTCTCTAAAGGTCACCACCTCTAATATATACTACATAAACATGATACAATAATAAGTAAATAAATACAAAATTATGCACATACCTACATATATGACACGGAGAAACAACACAGTTTAGCTTGGATGTATACATGTACAAGGCAAGAAAAATGAATTTTGTGAGTTTACCAGAGGGATGGTATAGGGAACAAAGCTGTTAAAGAATCTGGTAGTCCTGCTAGAAATACTTCGAAACCTCCTCCCAGAGGAGAGCAACAGAAACACACCATGAAGTGGGTGTGTGGGGTCTCTAACAATGTTTTGAGCTCTAAGCACATAGCGCTTATAAGCAGTATCCTGAATAATGGGAAGTGAGCAGTGGTGGTATTCAAATAAAGTTGCCACCGGTTCGGTGGGTGTGGCTTGGTGGCCACGCTTTGCGTGCACTTTGTGTGCATGCACGTGCCAAACATACACTTTGTGCAGGTGCAGAGGCGTTTTAACTTGCCTCCTGCAAGCCTGCACGATGGTGGTCGCTGCAGCAGCTGCCGCACGGCGCTATTTTGCACTGCGCAAAGCAGCTGCGCTTCAAATTCTGCTGATAAAAGTGAGTATGGGAGACTGGGCGGGTGGGCCGAACACAGAGCAGCACAGAGAACTGGTTTGGTTTCCACTGCTCATCGCTGCTACTGGCTCTCCAGAACCGGGCAGAACCGGTTGAATACCATCACTGGAAGTGAGCTATCTATAATCTTCTTGGCTGTCCTTACCACTCTCTGAATGGACTTTCTATCTGAGGCACTGCTTGCCACCAAACCCAACAGTGATGCAGTTTGTTAAAATGCTCTCAATCGTGCCTCTGTAAAAAATAGCCAGGATAGAAGGAGAAAGATGTGCTCTCCTCATCTGACACAGGAAATGCAGGTGCTGGTTTGCACACTTCACTAAGGATGATGTGTGGCGAGGCCAGTTCAGATTGTTAGTTTTTTGCACCCCCAGATACTTAATACTGTTGACCACCTCCACAGCCGCAACCTTGATACGCTACTACCTCTACCGGTACTACTACCTGGTAGTCCAGGTGGATAAAAAAAAAAATTCCGCCTTCCCATTCTGATGCCCTTCTGACTCATTGGGTCTACAGGTCCCTTCTTTCTGCGCAAATAGCCTTGTTGGCTAGAGATGCTATTGCCTTGCGTAGGTTAAAATGCTAAAAGCACAAGACGAATTCCCCACCAACTATTTTTGCTGATAGCATGGATCGGTGTTCCCTGAATCACTGCCCCCCTCAAATGTGTTGGATTACAGTATCCATCGCTGCTAGATTTGAAAGTGGTTGGAGCTGTGGTCCAGTTCAATTAGCAGATGGTAGGGTGGAAGTGTTGAAATGTGACATCTGCTCTCTGCTGTACTATGACTCTGCTTCCCTTGTGTGGGATGTAAAGAATACAAACTTGTCTGGAGCTGATGATTGTCCAAAGGTGCTACTGCTTTTTCTCATAGGAACATGTCCTCAGAAAAACATGCTTATCTCCTGTAAAAGTAAAATCTAAAGACTTTCTCCCTGCAAGTTCTGATGCAGTGCAAGGTAATGTGACAGAAGCCAGCAGAAATGTATTTCTTGTTCTGTGTAGTAATGAGCAGAATCTGTGCTTTTTCCTAACAGGTGGGTGACTTGCAAATCTTTACCTCCCGGAATATTGGAGAGAGTCACAGAAACCTTCACGGATCGTTTCCGTTTTCCATGGATTCGAGGGGCTGTAAAGATCAATATCAGCCTCCTCCCACCAATCATCTTGCTTCCTTTTTTCCTTCACATAGCAGCTTTGCACTTCCTTTTGGCCCTCGTCACCCTGATATCACTTCCTATACTAGTACTATGGTATTACTACCTCACACATAGGAAGAAAGGTCAGACTCTCTTCTTCTTAAGCCTGGGCCTATTCTCCCTAGGTTACATGTACTATGTATTTCTCCAGGAAGTGGTTCCCCGGGGCCATGTGGAATACAGTCAGGTGGCTCTTCTTACTTGTGGGTTAATCCTGATGCTTGTAGCCCTCCATCAAGCCAAGAAAGATCCTGGCTACCTTTTCAGCCAAATGAGCAGCGACAAAGCACTTCTCCAAGGCAGTTGCAGTAATAACATGTTCAATAAGAATGACCTGGGAAACTCCAACGGGCTTTGCAGAGTACCTGCCTCAGGTGTTGCTGTACACAGTAACACTGAGAGCTACTCCAGAACATTGGAAGCAGAGACGGGTCAGGGGACGAAGGACTGGTGCCTCAAATGTCAGTTGGTTAGACCAGCTCGAGCTGGACACTGCCGAATGTGTGGCAGGTGTGTGAAGAGACTGGATCATCACTGTGTCTGGTACGTTCCTTAAGTGGCCTTGATATTTTTTTCCTAACACTTCTGTTGCCAGCAAGCCGTAGTTTTCTCTGAAATATTTTTCTACTTTGGTTTTATCTGTACGTGAGTGGTCCGATTGACTTGCTATCACTGTTGAATAGATTGGGCTCCTAAGCCTTTATCTTTGGGCTTTCTTGTGCTCACCGTTAGTTGGGGGATTTCTGTTCAAAGTTACAAGTATCAGTGTTCCCATTTCTACCCAGAGGTGGCAGAAATGAAATGCAGGGTTTTCTACAGGCAAATCATACCATCAGGATGTAAGAGTTGAAGGGACTTTGGATATCATCTATTATAGCCCCTGTTTAGTGCAGCATGAGCTCTGCCACCGCAGAGCATTATCACTAATTTTCCAACTCACATGAAAAAAGCCAGGATGATTTCTTTCAGAGCTTCATCTATTCTGTAGAGTTATCTGCATATATCATCTTGGGCCTGTTTTCTGTAATTTAAATTGCTTCCATGGATATAAGGCTTATCAAACATTTGTAACGATTTCCTTATTAAAAAAACTGACATGGAACTTGGCAGAGTTGAACAGAAGAGCAAATTGGGCCACTTAAGGTAAGCAGACAGTGAATGGTGTGCAGCATCTGCTAGGTTGGAAATTCTTACCCAAGTTTGTTTTATAAAGATTAGTGCAAGGCATTTGTTAAACAGCAGACACATAGTCTTTGAAGCATGTGAATAGAATTTATGCGCATTTAGGGCATACAACCTTTTGGACTATAGATCACAAACAATTCTAGTGTCACCATTTCTGATTGGTTGATGCTGTTCCTGTTTCACCAATGAGATTTATTTTTTTTAGCTGCTCCTCTTAAGCAGTACAGCATGCGGTTTCTGAGTTATATTTATACAAGTGCCTCTTGAACACCCCCCACCAAAAAAATCTGCTTCCTTTTCTGATTTGACAGCTGTACCTTTCTTTTGTCCACATCACAAAGTAGTTGTGTTTACTTTGTAAGCTTTGAATAGACAGTTATTTCATATATATTTTTTAAAAAAACAAATACAAGTATTTAATGGGCACTTTGGATTCTACCCTTTTCTAAATCATGTTACTATAATATCATATTTCCCCCTTTGTTTCTTGGAGGATTAACAACTGTGTTGGAGAACAGAACCATCAAGCTTTTGTCCTTGCCCTCTTCCTTTTTCTGCTCACTTCAATATATGGGATTTCTTTGACTTTGGATACCATTTGTAGGGGAAAAAACACCCTCACTGCTCTGTTCTACTGTCCTGGTGTCTATGGAGAATACAGGTGAGAAAAATGCTCACTAACTTGATAGGTTCAAATAAAGATAATCCCTAGAAAGAAAATTGTGGGAATTCTTTGGGTTTTTTTAGTCTATGTAATTGTTCTATTTGCTCATTTACATGAGAAATTTTGCACTTTCATAAGAAAAATGTAGTTGATTTCCAATGTGACGCATTGGGAGCTTAATGTTACACACTCTTCTGTGGAGGAAATTTCCATTGTCTCAAATGTCCTGGGCTCTTTTGACTGCTAGCGAGAGCTCTCATACTTTGTTCTTTCTTGTCTTTTTTTAATTTAAAAGAGTATAATTCTCTACCTTAATTTATATTGGCTTACTTTTTTTATAATCTGTATTGGGTTAAAATCTTGAGTTCAATTAAGTTATTTCTGGAGAGAAAAGTTACACAATTTATTTGCAGTCATTTAATTCTGTCTTTCCTCCTTAAATAGTCATAGACATGTGTGCTAGAAAGAAAATGATATTCACAAAAAGTAACTGGAAATAACATTAATAGGGCATCTTGCAAGGTAATAGGCACATACCAAAGGACTGAAGTATCCTCCTAGATCGGCTTTATACTAAAACAAGGGAAACAAACACATCTCCTGAAATAATTCCATTTTGTATGTTGTTAGAATAAGCATATTCGTTCTATTCCCATACTTAATCTAACAAATTAGGATTCAGTGTGTGTAAAATTACACACATGGTTTACTTGCTACTGCAATTTACCCAAAATAGGAGAACTCTCCAGACTAGCAATGGAAAATTATTATTTTTGTTCATGAACTTTTGTATTAATCATGCCTATATTAAACAGTATATTCTTGCTTTCTGTTCCTCATTTAGTTCAGCCTTGACATTTACCTGTGTATGGTATTGTGCCATTGTAACTTCTGGTATGAGCTACATCCTTCTTCTTCAGCTCTTGAATATCAGCTATAACATGACTGAGAGGGAAGCTCGCATTGCATTACGGGAGAATATTGGAAGGAAGTTGTTATGGGGTATGATGGTTGACACAGGCCAATATAATCGAGGTTTTCTGTACAATTGGATCCAGTTTTTCACCTTGCACTCATCTGATCTGCAGCAGACTGCTGAAGATGTTGTATGAAGGAGTTTTTAACTATTAACTTTATCATGTATCTAAAGGCATTCTGGGCAAGTAGCTCTCATCTGTTGCAAATGAAGACTGGAATATGTAGATCCTTTTAAGCCATATAGCAAACTACAATACCACTTTCTCAAAAACAGGCACCTATCAAATATTTTGTAGGAATACCTTGGTATGATTGGGATTGCTTATATTCGTCACTTGATACCTATTAATGTCAGGTGAGGAAACAAATATAAAAACAATCATTTCAAGTTAAAGAAGCAGAGACTTTTCCCTGTTGAGGTTGATATGACCATGAGGTTTTAGCATTTCCTTGAAGGCAGCTCACACTTTCTGTTCTTGGCTCATTCTGTAGCACAGTGGTCCCCAACCTTTTTTGTACCACGGACCGGTACAATCCACGGACTGGTACCAGCATCAGCACACACGATCAAGGCAAGGCGAGCCGAGCGACTGGCCAGCCAGCCGTCCCCCGCTTCTCCCCTCCACCTTCAACTCCTCCTTTGTACCTTCTCGAGGTCGATGGGCTTTTCGGGCTCTTTCTTAATCTCCTCCTGAGTAACACGAGACTCCACCGCAATCGGGACGACTCTTCGTTCGAAGCCACCGCCCCCCTCTTCGACGAAACTAAGGCGCGAAGATTCCTTCAGCACCCAAACGCCGCTTTCCAACCGACGACCGACAAGCTCACCCGGAAGCACTTTCTCAAGTGCTGTCGAAACAAGATGGCGGCGCCCAAGCAAAATAGGCAGCCCGGTACAAAATGATCCACGGACCAGTGGTTGGGGACCACTGCTATAACATATGGATATATGAATCAGATGGTCAGAGTATTATGCTGGGAAGTCATAGATTTCAGAGAGGCAAAGTCATACAGTTACAACAGAATGAGTTGCCTTTAATATAAATTAAAGGCATAAATTGTTTCTTTTTATGTAGGACAGCCCACTACACCTCCCAGGAAAGTTTCAAGAAATATGACTCGAAAGAGGAGCATTTATTGTGAAGGCAAAGGTATTCAGCTCTGAGCAGAAGAATTTCACACCACATCTTTCCAATCTGCTATGTCAGTTATGAATTAGATACAGAATAACAGCATTGGAAAGGACCTTGTGGGTCATGTAGTCCAAACCGACCCCACTCCACCTCCACCCCGCTCAAACAGGAGACCTAACTATTTCTGACAGATGACAGTCCAGTCTCTTTTTGAAAGCTTCCAGTAATGAAGCTCCCACAACTTCCGAAGGCACGCTGTTCCACTGGATGATTGTTCTCACTGTCAATAAAATTTCTCATTTCTAGGTTGAATCTCTCCTGGATCCTGCTTTTCCTTTTTTATGGAGAAGCAGGTTGGTTATAGGAGTGATCCTGATATGCTATTTTCTGGTCCTGGTTTTTCTATTTGGAATTCCTGTCTTCTTTGGATTCACACCTCAAATTTAACAGGCTGCATACTTAATTTTATGCATTTATCTGATGCAAAGATAGTTATTAATTGGATAGTGGAGAAGGTTCTTAGTGTTTAATCATGATATATTGTAGCCAAAACACTTGAATTTAAAAAAAAAAACTTGTGCCTAAGTCAGGAATACAACTCTCAGCCTTTCTGGCCTGATATCTTAACATGAAACTCTTAAGCTCTCATATATTAAATAAATAAATGAAGTAGCTAGTAAAAGCCGTAAAATACCCAAATTTAAAAAGTCATATAAAATCAACAACTACTTTTCATTGAAAATTAATATTGCAAATTGCACGTGATTAAAATCATAGCTGATTATGGATCATCAGCCTAAGTGTAGTTTCTTGCTTGAGGGCCTTATTAAAAAAATCCATCAAACTGAATTTTAAACATTTTAAATCAGACAAGTATGATTTGTGTAAGTACAATGCAATCAAATTGTGAAAAAAGGTCCAATTATACTAAGAAAAACAGTTGTTGGGAGAAAATGTAGCTCCAATTCTTTTTGTCTGCTATAAAGATGAACATATGCTAGGATTTTTTTTGCAGTTGTTGGCATTTGCTAAAATCCAGTGTATATGAATCACATATATTATTATACATACTCACACACATCTCCAAAGAAATATCATTCTAAAGATGATATTAACACTGTTATAGGATTATGTTCATGCTAAAGTCCAATAAAAACCTGGTAATCTTCTAAGGAGCTAGCTAGTAACAAGAAACGAAATCCTCTAATTTTAAAAGCATATACCACCATATAATTCCAGCTTTTTTAATATTGTCTTGAAATGGTAAAATGTACATATTTAACTATAACTAAAAATGTTTTAGTGTAGATAGCTATACCCGAAGAAGGTTCCCTCCCCCCCAAAGCACTAAAATGGGCATTGTTACCTCCATGTCTGACTCTCACAGAACCCCAAAGAAGCTGTAAAATATTGCTGTCAGAATGCAATCTGGAAAGGCTAGACGTTGACAATAAATACCTTGTTGTATGAAGGAATGTTTCAAGGAACAACAGAATGTGTTAAAAATCCACATTTTTTTAGCTTTTCTTGGGAAAGTTGAAAGGATGCAGAAATATAAAGCATACATTTTTGAAGAGTTTTGTAAAGACAATTCAATGTAGCTACAATTAAGCCAACTGAAAGAGACTTCTAAGCACTTATTGCATATTGCAATGAAGTAGAATATAATTGAGAGTGAACCCACCACATTCACTTAAATACTGAGATGAAAAGTGCCTAAATTTGATAAAATACCAACTAGCCTTTGGAATTCTACAATTCTGAAAAACTTAAGATTGTATAACAGCATTTTCTATTTAAAATCTCTTCTGTGCTTCTCAGTGAATTCCAGTCCAGAGGTTATGGTGAACTTTGAAGGAAGGGGCTTCCGGTGTTGCTTTCGTTGATCAAGATCAAATGTTAGTAATATGAAAATCTTGCTGTGAGCTCATTAAGAAGCAGAAGCTGCTTGTTTGCATTTATGCAATTATTGTTCCATTGTCATATTTCTGACTTAATATTACTGTATATCATAGCTCAGTGGATCAACAGCTTTTCATACATATACTATTTTAATGGTGCTTTTTTTATACTAAATTAGCTCATCTTTAAGTTGTGATAATGTTTTCTAAAGCAAGTAATAACTGCCTCAATCTAATGTCTTAAATGTTATCTGATTTTAATCAAATTATGAATGTATTTTGCCCTTGCAGGGAAGTATCAAAGTTTTCTCATATATAAATATCTTTTTCAAAATCTGTTTTTCCATCTCACTGTACGTTAGAGAACGTTAAGAAAACAACATTTACTTTCTTGTTGGTTTACAATTCTTAGTTTTTTTTTCAGTTGGAATATGTGATGTATATTATAAAATTGCTTCTGTCTGAACTATTTATTTAATCTATATAAATTTGATTGCACAGTGCAGTATTTATTTTTATAATCTTAATGTTTGATATTAATACATTAAATGTTTAAAATATATTAATCAAGTGAATAAAGCTATAGCACAATTTCATCATTAAAAACAGTGATTCAATAAACCAGTGGCATCTCTTTCATGTGTTCTTTTTGTTTTTTAAATATGAGGGTGAGGGGAAGATGGGTTAAGTTTTATATGTATACTGATAAACCTAATTGCTAATAGGTTGCAGGGAATGGAGGGAATTTAAACTAATGTTTTATACTCAATTTTTGAAGCTAGAAGTAAAAAGTGTGATTACTATGCAGTCAAAAATTATTTGAAAAAAATGAGGGTACTGATACAATAAGAAATTTACATAAATTTCCCTAGAATAAACTTCACTATAAACTGTAGAAAAAAACTTGTATAAGTTTATTCTGTGTGTGTGTGTGATTTCTAATAATAGATGAACACATTTAAACTACAAATGGAAGAATAACATTTAAAGTTGTCCCTATTTGTCCTTAAAGAATGAATGTTTTTTTGAGACAAAGCAAACTTGTGGATGACCAGCAAATGGCTCTTTAGATTTAGGGGTCTTATACATGGATTGTTTGTGAACCATCAAGCTAATGTGAACTCTTAGTGACCACATAAAGAAGTTTGAAATCAATAATGATTGGTTTGCCACAAAGGAGTCTCATACTGATATATAATAACCAAGGGCAAACTGGCTACATTTTGCAAAGAGATCAGTGACTTTCCCATGGCACTAAAATGTGGAACAAAGGAAGCCAAAACTAGCTTCTGAAACTAAAAAAGTTCCACATTTGAAAGCAAAGTTGCCCATTAGAATTTTTCTATTCTCACTTTAATATTTTCCCTAATACAAATTACTAATCCAGTTTTAGAAATAATTTATTTCCTTGCTGTTTTTCTATTATCATAATTTTTGTAGCTACAATTGTTACTAGGGTGCTTTGACGTCATATTTCTAATTCAGTTTTCAGCCAAAAATTATCAGCTGTAGAATGAAAATTTTATCTGGAAGTTGAAGTGTTAACAGTTTAGAAACTCAGAATATGTGAAGCAGCATCAGAATTTTGTAGCCAACAAGTGAGACTGACAACTGGCAAATTCCAGGGCTTAAGATGGCTGAATGAGGAGAAACACAAACCTTTTAAAAGTGACTGACTTAAAATGTGTACATATAGCACATAAATCTTTACCATGTGCCTCAGATCTGGGATTGACTACTGCACTTTTCAAAATAGATATAACGACCCCTTTAGGCAGTTGATTTTGTGTGTCATGAATTCCAAAACAATAGTTATTACTGTATTTCTATTTACAGTAACAGTGAAGGGCATTTGTATAGATTACCTTAGTTGTCTAGAGCAGGGGTCTCCAACCTTGGCAACTTTAAGACTTGAGGACTTCAACTCCCCGAATTCCTCAGCTAGCAAAGCTAAGTCTTAAGGTTTTCAAGGTTGGAGATCCCTGGTCTAGAGAGCATAGAAGTGTATTCCAACATTGTGGAAACTGATTGCCTCACAGCAATTAGGGAAAATAACAAGGGTAGCTGGTATTAATTGGTTGCTTTTGCATTTATATTACAGCTGTTTGAGATAAATCACAAAATGCCTTGATGTGGGTGTAGGCAAATAGGACCATCACTATGTTCACACTATGAGCTCTTCACAGCTGAACAGCAACAGACAGATTCTGTTCTGAAAGTCAATTCTGATTGCAAAGCAGACACTCAGTCGGTTTTCTCTTGCAAACCAAAGATGCTGCCACGTTGTTGATAGAAGGAAAAAGGCACATAGGAATGAGTTTACTGAAATGATGCTACAGTCTCAAGAAGGAATTTGCCATATTGACCTTTTCCTCCTTCCAAATTCCATTTGTCCTCTGGTCTGAAATCTTTTTGTCATGCTTGGAAATCTGGCAAAATTTCAGATACTCTCTTTCTTAGCTTTTCTAGTCTTTCTTCTTTTTTTCTTTCCTCTTTCATCTGATCTGGGTACTGTTGCCAGGCTCTGAATGCAAGTAGTATCATTCTCCTATATCACACAATGTTTAAAAAAAGGGAAAAGGGCAGTAGAATTGTAAGCAGGCATGAATGTTTATTAAAACTTTAAAAAAATATTCTCATACTTTCCCCATATTTAATAAACAGATTTAAAATATGCTATTATGTTGAGGCAGAGATGATTATGAAACAATGTACTATTTCCTCCTTATTTTTCAGGAACTTGTCAACTTGTTGGATAGAGAATTTCCCTAGAGAAAAGAGATGCTAAATGTCACTAGTTTCTAGACAAATGTGAGGGAGTCTTCCGTGCTCAGAAACCACAGTAAATATTTGTAATTGTTATAAAAGATACTGAATTTTTCCCTCTCTGTGTAGAAAACTAGTTGCCAAGATTTTATGTCTGAAATGGTACCTCAAACATAACAGTTGTTTCATTTTCATGAAAGTGAAGTGAATATTTTTCAAGGGCCTATGTAATCCAGCATTCTGTATTATACCTCACAGATAGGGGAAAAGAAGGCAGTAACTAAATTTACTCTAGAAAAACAGGTACTTAAAAAGTTAAGTATCAGAAAACTTTTCTTCTTACATTGTACATCATTCTTAACAAGTGCTAATAGTTCTTAATATTGCTAATAGTTTTTAACTATTAGGTTGCATTTCACTTTTTCTTCCAAAAATACAATCCCATACCTTTCTATCCCTGTGAGGTAAATTAAACAGAGAATGAGCTTTGTGGCTACGAGAGGATGTGAGTCTCTCAACTTACTTTATCACTAATCAATCACACTGGCTTCCAAAAGACCTTTATGCATAGATACTTCTTTTCCATTTATAACTTTTATTTGTGGTTTTTGAAAAGTAAATGATACACTCATATAGACTGAGACATACATTTAGTGTTCTCTGTGATTTGGTCTGAAAATCCTAGAGTCCTCTTTCTTTTTAATTCCAAGATTTAAAAGAAAAGAATTTGAAATCCTCTCTATTTTGTAAAAAAACATTGAATTCAGGAAAAGATACCTTTGAATAATATTGTATTGTTAGGAGTACTACTTTTCTGTAGAGCAAAAGATGGGCTGAACCATAAGCGATAACAGCCAACAGCCCAAGCACATTACTAGAAGGGAAGACTCAGATTTTCTATCTGGTATGGTTCATTCTATTTAGTGGTATCTGGCTGGTTTGTACACAAAGTTAAGTTGCATCTAAATTACATATCCTAGAAGCATGACTTGTATCTTGTTTCCCAGGACAAAGAAATATTTAAAAAATGCATGCATGCACGCACACAATGTTCAGGTGATTCCAAAGGAACCTAAAGAACAAGGAACATACTGTATAATTCTTGTAATAAATACAATCTAAATGAAAACCGCCTTTGGCATATTCGATTTTACCTATTAAAGTATTGATCTGCAGTCTTTTGTTTTGCCCACAATATTCTTTTTTCCTTGTTTGTCAAATCAAACCAAGAACCAAATAACTTCTTCTTTAGGGTAGTTTCATGGACTTTGGTTGCACTCTCTTCCAGAGTAAATATGTAATCCTTATACTGAAAGAAGTCCAATGAAAGGAAAAGGTGTCACACAATTACAGTATGTTTACATTTTACACAAGAATATGTGTCAAAGGAAAAAACCCTCACAATGCACAAATGTGAACGTACGATTCAGCACGTGGTGCAATGCGCACACAAAAATTAGGTTTTATGGTCCCTCCCTCTTCATTACTCCAAACTCCTGGCCTCCAGTCTAGATTATATTAGAATCTTTTAGAAAATGCCTACAATTACTTTTTTTCCCAATCCTCCCTCTTACTAACCTTTATCCAACTCCTGAAAGACCTTCTAAGCAATTGAGAGCAATGGAGACCTTCAGCTTGAGCTATTTTCCTTGAATGGATTTCTTGCATATTATGAAGCCAGGCAAGAAGACATTTCTGCTGCAAACTAGTACGGTGATGCCTTTGCGCCATCTAAATTCACAGATCAAGAAAAGGATACTGGTATAAATGGATGCAAGGGGGGGGGGGAGTCCTGTAACTAAGATTGTGTCATTGAAACATCACTGACTAGGCCCCTTTTATTCTGTCCAATGACCAAACTACATAGATTCCCAGAGCACATCATTTTTTCTCTATTTCAACTTTATAGTCTGACAGCACAATTGTCCCTTCACTTATTTTAGCTGGAAATAGGCCTAGAACTGAGGGGGTTCATATGTATACTTGACTTGTGAGTAGTTCAGATATTTAAAAAAAAAACTGCTCAAAATAATTATTAATTTAAATGCTGACTTCAGTGTTAGTAAATGAGCTCCACAGCATCAATTTTGGACATAATCGCCCACTATATAAGCCATTTCTGCAAATGCTATCACAGTCTGACATTTGTCTTTTGGGCCAGAACATTTTGGGATGCTAACCATAAGATTCATGATGGATTGCTATTATATTTTCCCCTTTCTTTTAAACTTGTCTTCAGATATTTTGTTGGACATACAGGATTTTTTAAAGCCTTTTCTGTCACAGCTGTATAAACTAGATTTAGAGAATGGTTCCTTCTCGCTGTTTTGGTCTATGCAGTATCCACACAACACAGAAACCTGATTTGATCAAAAAACCACGGGACAATAGCTGAGGATTCATCTTCAGCACATGAAACTAACTTCCTTTTCCAAGATGGCCATTTTTACTCTAGTTCTTACCACCATATTTTCTTTGGATTGCTCTGTAAGTCTTTTCCAGGCCTTTAACACCTGGTTGAGCAGAGCCTTAATGTAATGGTCTTCAGCTTTGGATAAAAGTTGCTGTTCTCTCTCCAACCTTCTCTGTTTTTCCAGTTCTTTCTGTAATTAATAAATCAGAAAACCGGAGTTTAGAGAATTTGACTAGTTCATTAAAAATATTACTATTTCTTGGGCAAACAAGTATAACTCATGTGCTCAGTTGTTGATGTCTTTCTGAACTGCAGGAAATTGAGATATTGTTGTGGTCATCTACATGGCTCCAAACATCATTATCAAAAACATCTCCTTCATGCCAGTCTGCACCATTTTGAATAGACCATCTTTTTTAAAATTAGGGACTGTACACACAGAATGATCACTGCAGTTTCATGAATATCATGTTTGGGAAATTGCAAAAGCTCAAGCATTACCATTTTGAGCTTCAGATCTTCCAGGCCTTATTTCTGCCTCTGTTGTTGCTTTCTCTTATCTATTTACTATCAAACTCTTGTCAGTATTAAGTCTTCCAAAAAAAAATCAACTAGCAGTAGCAGCAGTTTTCACTTGCTTTGCCCTTTCCTCCTAGACAAGATAATTGAAAGAGCAAGGGTATCAAATGACAGTGGCAAGGAAGTCAGTCAGTCATGCATCAGGAGGGTCATTTGAGGGCACGCAGTCTAAATATTCCTCCCAATCTGCCACCAAATGTTTGAACATCATCTCATTCAGAAGCTTTGAATCATTTAAGCAACAATGCCAGGCTAGCTTAATTCTAGAACACAGAACTGGGGCTATTACTTTGTTAAAGCAATTAATATGGCTTTGATATAGGGGTGTTTAAAATAATTTTTATGCACTGCTGCTTTTTCATTATTGTCTTTAAGTACCATATGATAAGAACATGTACAAATAAATGCCACATGGATGATCCAAAAATAAAATAAAAAATAAAATAAAATAATTTTTATGAAATAGTGAAAGTATTATTTTTTTCCTGAGCAGCTTTGACACTGCTGGAATTAGACTGGTGCCATTACAAAATCATATTGAAAAGAGTTCTATCAGTGTTTTAACAGTAATAGATCTGTGAGATAGCTGGTAGCAGAATCTTCCACTCACTATTTGCTGCAATTTCTTCTCTTCTCGCCTCTTCTCTAATTTAGCCTCTTTTTCTGCGGCTTCTTGTCTTTGACGTTCTTCTTCTTTGGCTTGCATCTCAGCCTTAGGATGGTATAGATTGAACAAGACAAGCTAAATCATATTTAAATCCCTATCCCAAAGAAATACAGAAGTTCCAAGGCAGATACTTATCTAAATAATGATATGGGTTTTACACACAAAGGGGGTAAAAATAATATTTTATTCACAACTCTCTTCAGTAATGGTGAATAGCCTTACCAGCAGTTATTAGTCAGGAAACTTACACATTTCAAAGCAGGTTTTACTTCTAAAATATAAATATCAAAAGCAAGTAACCACCATTATAACCAGGGATGGGATCTGACAGGGTTAACTACCGGTTCGGTGATTTATGAGGTTCGGTGATTTACGATGTGCTTTCCTGCACGCTGCTGCGCATGCCTGTAAATTGTCATCAGCACACTGCGTGCAGAGAAGCAGCCTTTGAAAAAGCACCTTTTTCCTGCTTTTTAAACTGCAGCTGTGCTTCGCACGTCAGCTGAAGTTGAAAAATCAGGAAATAAAGGTCAGATAAGAGCCCAGGCGGGCGGGTGAGCAAAAACATCAGCAGACATAGAACCTGTTCTATGTCTGCTGCTCTTCAGAGCTACCGGTTCTACAGAGGTGGACAGAACCAGTAGAAACCCACCCGATTATAACTTGTTAGTTGAAGTTAGTCAAGTTAGGTAAAAAGTTTACATTTTTAAAGTCTAAACTGGTGGATTGCAAAATTGTTGTTCTGTTGAAGAAAAATAGAGGGATTTTAGATGCATCTGATACATTTTTTGTTGTATCCATCTTCTCACAAAATGTTTGGTTTCTATGCTGGGAAGAAGAAAAAGATGAGGTGCCTTTCTCTTCTAACATACTCCCTTGCTTGCATGCAGTGTCTCCTCATCTATAAAATTTATAAAATGTTATTTTCATGTTATTAAGGCAGACCAACATCAGGGACCAGAGTATTAATTTATTAAAGCTCTGGCATGTGTATACAGTTTATCGAGGGAGACTGACATTTTTATAGGTGCCTCAACTTGGATGTGGTTTTATTTTGGTTTTAAATGGTTTGTAATTTGTTTTATATTCGCTGCCTAATTTCCTTGGATAGAGGGAGGGCCATAGAAATTTGATTAAAAAATAAAGGGCTAATAAATAAAATTTCATGTTTGTATTTTAAACATTATATTGGTCCTTTTATTATCTACCTGCTGGATATTTAAGTCAACTTAGTTTTACTTGCCAGCATTTTGTCTTCTCGGTTTTTTTTTGCTTCTTCAAATTGCTTCCTCCGTTCTGCTCTCTGAACTGCTCTCTCTTCCATAGCTAAAACGTTCAGGAAAAGGTGTACGATGATGAAGATAAATTAAATTACATTAAATTTGAGACTTGAAAAATGCAGTGTTTTGCTTTAAATTTTGTTTCTGACTGATCCATATTGAACTAAATATGGCCAGATTGTTCAACTAGCTCAATATTCTCTCTTTCTCCCTCCCTCTCCTAGCAACTAATTCAAACTGAATCTTGTATTTCAAGGGGAAAAAAGTATTAGATGAGTCTGAGATTGGCATATAGTCTGAAATATTTTAAAGAAATCCTGGATCCTATAGTTATAAATGGGCAACCTCAACAATGCAACTGGAATTTATTATCATCTAAAAGGACAGCATCCACAATTGTGTTTGCTGTTTTCTGACTACCAAAAGTAAAGGTAGTCCTCGACTTACAACTATACTAGAGCCCTAAATTTCTGTTGCTAAGTTATTGAGTGAGTTTTGCTCCATTTTACGACCTCTGTTACCACAGTTGTTCACTGAATCACTGCAATTCTTTTTTTTAATTTTAAAAATAATTTAATGTGGTGATTTTCTTTGATGTACAGTTCAGTCAAAACATTTCACCTTAGAAGAAATCAAAAGATATAGACATTTATATACATATATATACATATATACATTTAAGTTTTGTATCTTTTTAGTTCTTTTTCTCATTTTTCATCTTAAATTCTTATTTCAGTTTAGTGAACTCCCTTTCATGTCCCTCCAATAATAGAATGTATTCCATACTTTATAATATTCTGATTTATCTTGTTCTTTCAATTCTAGTGTCAACCTATCCATTTCGGATCACTGCAATTCTTAAATTAGTCACTCGGCTGATAATTGAATCTGGCTTCCTCATTGAGTTGGCCTGTCAAAAGGCCGCAAAAGGTGATCACATGACCCTGGGACATTACAACTGTCATAAATACAAATCAGTTGCCAAGCACCTGAATTTTGATTGTGTGACCATGGGGATGCTGCAATGGCATAAGTGTGAAAAATGGTCATAAGTCACTATTTTCAGTGCTATGTAACTTTGAAAGGTCACTAAACAAATGATTGTAAGTCAAAGACCACATGTATTTTAAGGCAGCTTACTTACCAGTTAAAAAAGTTGGACAAGTCTATGCCATTCTTCATAACTAGAATACTTCCCCTCTAATCTTATGTGGTATAGACTATTAATAACTAGTAACTACCAGTAATTTGATATGAACAAAAATGCTAAGACTTACAACATAGCACATTAAGAAAAACACATTATTGATTACAATGCACATTACATGTATTGCCATGTGATTCTGAATAACCATCAACTTAATTAAAGAAAACATTTAAACACATTTGTGTGTATGTTACAGGAAGAAATATATATATATATATTTACAATTATTTCTTGCCGTAGTTCTGATCTTTCTGAGACTGGTTGAAATACACTGGCATTATTTGTCACTGGTCAGATAAAATGTATGGATTATATTATATTGTCATAATGCTAGTGACATCATCACCCTGTCCAGTTAAAATGTTATTCAACAAGGTGTTCAGGAAAAAAATGTTTAATTCAAAGAAAGCCACACAATTTAGGGTTTGAAATAATTCACACATAGGAGTTGACAAAGTTTGCCAAGAAGACCAATAAAAAACCAGACCTTCAGTTATATTTATTAAACGTTTCATGACTGTTCCTGTGGTATAATATAGTATGCGTATTTGTACTATAACAATCGTATATTTTACTACAGCTTTTTATAGCCATCCAGGAAAAACTGCAAAATTTAGGTATATACCTTTAAGCAAGGGATGTGGTGTGACTAATGCTTTCAAAATCCTTCTCTTTTGAATGACTGGCTGCTGAACTTCTGACCTAAATAAGCCAAAGTGTAAGAGAGAGGGGAAAAAATGAAAACAGAACAGAAAGGTCTTGGGCTTGGGATTAACATTCTAGAAAGCAAATACTTCAAATAGAAAAAATATGTTCTGTGAATAATGTAGACCAGGAGTGTCCAACCTTGGCAACTTTAAGACTTGTGGACTTCAACTCCCAGAATTCCTCAGCCAGCTAAGCAGCAATGCTGGCTGAGGAATTCTGGGAGTTGAAGTCCACAAGTCTTAAAGTTGCCAAGGTTGGACACCCCTGATGTAGACTATAGGTAGAGATTCAAAATGACTTTGGCATGATTGAAATAAGTAAACTGACCCTTATAAGGCTTGGTTTCCTGATCCTATCCTGGATAGGATCTGGAAACGAAGTCTTATGAGGGTCATTAGAGAATCTGTGACATTGTGAGAGAGCAGCTTTCTGTTAAAATTAAGGGAAAGACAAGGACCATCCAGTTGAAATGAAAAGAAAGCAGATTCAGTCTACTGTATATATTAAGAAAAACTTTCTGACAGTAAAAATTGTAAAAAGTGAAGCAGTTCTACCCATAGTAATGGGACTTGCCCACTCTGGAGGCTGAATAGGCATCTGTGGATGGATGATTAAGTAGTTCGTTATTTTCAGCAGAAGTTTGGACCAGATCACTTATTTGATCTCTATTTTCTGCTACATTCTATGAGGCTAGAAATCCAACTCAAAATAACTGGAAGGACTACAGCAATTCTGTCTATACACATGCAGAAAGTTATTATCCAATCTATTAAAGATATCATACTAGGACTTTGTCCTAACTTTTGATATTTTTTGTTCCACGATTCTACTCAGTCCTACATGTCTATATATGAATTCATTGACTGTTTCCCCACTATACTTTATAGCTTTCTTATTTATTTATTTTTTAAAACTTTCTAGTATGCAAAATGTTATATTTCTTTTTCAGTTTTTTTGCTAAATAAATCATAACAATTTAAATAAATTATGTTACAGAAATAAAAAATGAAATCGTTTTAAGATAATTGATCTCTGATTCTGTTACAAAAAAACCTTGTAAATTTCACAGTGTATGATTTTGTTAATCAAGTTATTCCCCCTTGCCCCTTTTTATTAATCATAAGAAAAAGTGTCCTTTGCATGACAACAGGCATCTTATTTCTTAGCCATGTATTTGAGTGGTAGGGATTAATATTACAAACACCTTTCTTTGATTTTCTGCAAGGCAGCAAGCCACATGCAACTAAATAAAAATATAGTTTTCCTCTGCTCATTTTTATTGTTTGCCTGTAATTATTTTGGACTGAAAGGTCAATTATTACTATTGTTTTATTATAAAAGTAATGGAAATAAATGATTAAAATTGGTCAAATAACAGTGGCTATTGAACCTGTATCATATTTGATACTGAGCTATTAATTGCAATTAAAAACATCACAGTGCTACCTTGAAGTGTGCTGTTCCAACCACATTCTTTTAGCTACTAGGTAACAAAATCACAGTGATTTTTATCATCATCATCATCATCATCATCATCATACCTTACAGGTTTAGTATTCTTGCAATTGGATTGATTTTCTCTCAGTTGCTTTTTGTCCTTAATTTTTGGAGTGTTAATATTAAGTGCCGTGGTAGCAGTTGTAGTTTGCTCAACCTCCCAAGCAGTGTGTAGCCTCTGAAGGCCCTGAAGTTTACGGATCAGCTCTTGCTGCTCTTGAAGCTGTTGTTGCTGTTCTTCAATCAGACGTTGCTGTTCCAGGGGACCCAAAATAGCGGAAGATTTCTTTTGTTTTGATAGATCAAGATGCTGCAGGGAATGCTTTGTTTCATTCCCAAACCTAGCATGGTCCTGAAGGTTCAAAGCAGCATGTTTTCTGGTGATTTGCCATGGCCATTTCGGTTGACTTGGTGAATGGAGATTGCATTTTTTACTTGTCCCTGGAGAGTAGGAATGGCCTCTTTCAGATTTTGCAATTGTGGGATTATTCTGAACAAACGGCGCTTCAGTCAGCTGGCTAACCTCTATACAGTTTACCTCTGTATCACTTGCAGGTTTATCGTGGGTGACTTCTGTCTCAAGGATTTTATGGGTAGGTCTTGAGAAATTTGATGTTAGTTGCCCCACTGATACTTCTTCCAAGAGCTTTGCCATTTTTCTTCTCATTTTTTCTTTTTTTGCTTCTAGCTCTCTCTTTTCCATCTCTAATCGGCTCCAGCGTTGCCATTCAGCAAAGAAATGACGCAAAGTACATCTCCGGTTAAACTCTATAGCCAGCTGGTTTTTCCTAAATTAAGATTTTTTTAACATTAGTTTAGAATTCCTGATAGAATTGTTTGACTTTTATTTATTTATAAAAGAGATGAACATGCATTACTAGATGGGCCCTCTAGTACTCTATTGCAGACCCCAGATCCCCTGCAGTAGACAAAACTGACTTGTTTATATAATAAGGTTCTCTTGGAGCTTAAGAGATAAAACGGATGCCTTAAGTCTTAAGATAAAAGATGCCTTATCTTAAGATGCCTTAAGATAAAACGGATGCCATTTGGTCTCTACCTCCACCCAAACAGACTAAAACTTTTAGTCCTCCAAATATCCTGATATCAGCAACCATGGTTGTTGCAGTCCCCAGCAGGAAATTAAAATGAAACACAGCCCTCAGACAAAAAAAGGTATAGTTATTTCTTTATGTAGTATAGTTTTTCTTGTAATGACTTATTTTGATAAATATATTGTTCTGCTTGTTGTACGTTTCCACTATATTTCCAATAATATGGGTCAAGCATAAAATAATTGCTGTTAGTAAGAGCCATATCAGCATATGTCTATGGGAAACCATTAGGCCTTTCACAAGCCTATTGAAATATTATTTTTTCTAACAAGTTTTTACTCAATGATGATTGTGACCATGATGCAGCCTGCTGATTGGAACAGATCAAATATATTTTGCTTTCCCTGCATTAGGTTAATGGATTCCTAATGTAATTTCTTGGAATTCAATGAAACAGTAAGATTCATCCAGTAATGGTTATTCATCAAAATTATAGGATCATTCTCATATTTGCACGAGTCAAGAAATAAATAAAGACTGGGGAAAGGAAGGGAAGGGAAGCTTTGAAAAACTTTAATAATCATAATATTAAATCTACCAGCTGAATTTCTTTGAGTTTATATAAGTGGCACAGTATTCTGAAAACATCCTGCACACCAATGGCACTAATTACATGTGAAAGAATACTAATGTTGATGGCTTCTTCATAAAAGAGTGAAATGTAATAACCTGGGTGAAAAGTTTGAAAATATATCATCATAATTGCTTTTGAGGTGCATCTTATATGTCCTTATTTAAGAGCACTCCAATAAGCAATCAAAAATCAAAATAATTAAACCAAGCACAATAGCTTTCAACTTCACAGAAAGGAATCGTATTAATATTGCTACCTATTTTGATCCCGAAGCTGATTTTCCATTTTTTGAGTCTCCTTCTTCAGTTTGTGAGTCCATGAATAATCTCTCCAAGCTCGCAGAATCTTCAGCTGGCACTTCCAGTCTGCAAGGGCTCTTGCTTTTCCCATTTTAATTCTGAGATCCAGAATAAACTTGTACCAGGCAGAGAAATACTTCCGTAGGCACTACATTGAAAATCAAGTAACTATGTTCCATTGTATATTTACATTTCTGATAACGTAAAATTTTGGACTATTGCCTTTAAGGTTCACTGACTACTGTACCTCCCTTCATAAATTGTAACCATTTTTTACTATACATGGAAGTGAATGTTAGATATGTCAGAATGAATAGAAAAGTATGAAATAAATATATTAGTTAGGTTATGTAGAGAGCATGAGGGCTGACATATGTAAAACAAATATATGAAGGTTGAGAAGCAGACTCGAAAAAGCCAGGGGAGGATGACGTTGATATTACAAAAAATAAATATATAAAATGTATGTATGAAGTGGTACGAAAAACAAGATTTGAAAGTATTGCAAAGTATAGTAAATAGTATTAGTGCAATCTAGATTTTTTTCTTTTGTGTTTCATTTCTTTTGTTTATTACTACTTTCTTTTTCTGTGCTTTCCATAATATTGCTAATACTGAAAAAGTAGAAATTGGCATTTTAAAAATATAGACATAAAGAAGTAGAGAGCTCTCATCCCCCATGCCTAAACTCATCTATGTGGCAAGTTCTCATAAAAAAAAAGAAATATCTTTTTTTAAAGATATCAATATCAATTGCCTACTTATTCAGTTAACTTTAACATTTTAATGCTATTTCATATGTATTGCCATCATAATTGAATGATCACATTACTAACATTTTTAATGAGAACCGTTATCTCATTTCAGCAAGTAATCCAGGATGCATTGCTCTTATCTGCTTAAGCATGTGTGATATCTCTAGCATCATCCACAAATCCTTTCAAATTATTTTTAATGTCTGAAATGTCATCATTCTCATGAGAGCTCAACGTCCTTGCATTTTGTCAGATTTTTATTCACCAAGCGCTAGAAGAGATGACTTCTAGCACTTATTTTGACCTTTGATCTAAAACTTGTTTACTTATTTTTACAGATCACTCATATAGCTCCATGTTTTATGAAAAGGGAAAATTGTTTAAACAAATATTACATACACGCACCTACTTATACAATGGCCAGTTAAGATACGTGTATAAAATACCAGCTATTGAGAATTTATATTTAACTGAATCAAAATGAGTTAAAGCAGGACAGCCTTCAAATAGAAAATATACTACAATCTTATGCATGACTATTGATTAGTAACTTTTATGTGGGTAATAAATATAAGTAGATGCTATATAGCAACTGCAGACTATTGTTTACCATTTACTATTTTATTCTTGTTTTCAAGCCAATGCTTAAGTAGCATAAACATGTGTGGCACTTTACAACACCAGATCATACTCAAACATAATGCATTTTAGCAAATGCAAAAATGTCACTCTTGATTTTCTTGCTTTAAAGAAGAAAAAAAAGTTTATAAGAAAACCTGGGCTGATATAACAATGTGCTGTATCCTCAGGTTTAAGCTTAGTCATGAAGCAGTTTTCATAGCAGGTTCCAGTTTTGGCATCCATCTGCTCTCCTAACCTTCCATTTCCTTTCAACGTCAAATCTATATATTTATCCTCAATTCATTTTAATATAAATGTTATCCTGAGCATCTTTGTTTAGTGAAAACTGTTAAGAATTCTAGCTAAAACAACAATCCATCTCAAAGTGCTGAAGATAAGATCATGAATGTCCTCACCTTCTGATCAGCAGTGTTGACCTTGTCCAGCAGTTCTTGCTTTTTGGCCTGTTCCTCTTTCTTTTGTTCTTCATTGTCACAATTCAGATAGGTAAGCTCAGCAGGATGCAGGCCAACTTCTATCAGAGTCTGAATTTTTTTTAAATTGTGTCTTTTTCTTTCCCTAAAAGAAGACAGTTTGTGAAAGGTTCGAAAAAAAATAGCAGAGAAAGAGGACCATGTTAATTGATAGGATTGATAGTTAGCAATCCTTCTTTGATATACTTTTTATTTAAACTGAGCAAGTTTTATAGGATTATTGTAATCCATTTAGTTACTGCAATGTCCTCATTTCATAAACTAGTGTTACACACTAGGTTCTTAAATAATACACTGTTGTAGTTGACAATTTGAAGAAACAATTGAAATCAAATAGGGATACACATGAAAAATAGTTTGACTTCAGATTTAATTTTTATAGTTCATACAACATGGTGCCTACTTGGTCGGTGGTTTTGAAAAGCACATAGAGATGATTTGGAAAATAAGATTTAGTAGTTTCTTCCATGTCTGCAAATCTCAAATAAATTTAATTAAATTTCGAAGCTAATCTCCATAGCAGTGGTGGTATACTACTGGTTTGGTCCAGTTCGGGCAAACCAGTAGTAAAAAATGTTACCATTTGACTGAACTGGTAGTAAAAAATAGCTACCGGTTCAGCCTCTCAACAAGATCAGGTATTCTAACGATCAGCTGTGCAGGATCCCCCTCGCTGTCTTACTGTTTCACCCAGGAGGCTTCCCTGAGGCCCAGGAAGCCAAAAAAATGGAGCGCGGGGAGGTGCTCCACCCTCCCCTGCATTCCATTTTTTTGCTTCCTCGGAGCAAAAATGGCCTCACAGGCGGCTTCCCTGAGGCCCAGGAGGCAAAAAAAACAGAGCACAGGAAGGCGGGGTGGTGTTGTTGCAAAAAAAAAAAAAAAAAAAAGCCACACCCACCCAGTCACATGGCCACATCCACCTAGCCGTGCCCACAGAACTGGTAGTAAAAATATTTGCATCCCACCCCTGCTCCACAGCATCTTTGGACATGAAGTTCTAAGTTGTCTTACATTTATATCTTCCCTCACGCCTCAGAACTCACAATGATTTTTAGATGATCTTTCATCTATTTAGTGGCAATACATTTGCTCTATCACGGTTGTTCGGATTCTGTTTTGGGATCTACAACGAACTGATTCTTCTCCAAAGCTTACATTTTCCGTGCTTCTTCCATGAGATGTCTTTTTTCTCCTAACTCCTTCCGCAGTATTACCATTTGTTTTTGGATCGCTGCTTCTTCTTTTTTGGCTTTCAGAGCTTTCCTCATTGTCTCCTCTTGTAATTGCTTTTGAGCCTCTGACATTGCTAACTTTTTCAAGGCTTTTTCTTGTTTTAGAAGTTCAAGCTCCTTCTGCTGTTTCAAGCGATTTTCTTTTACCTGGAAAACAAGAACAAAAAGAAGTGTTAAAGCACATGCCAGTCATTGAATGTAATTGCCAAATAACTTCTGATCACTGGATGAGGAACTTATAAAGGAGTTGACTCTTCTATCAGTAAAAAATTCTGATCAAAATATGCAAGTAGGCTTCTGATAGATCTTAATTTCTCCATTCTGGAGGTTCAGTGCCTGATGAATTTGTTTAGCAGCCTGAGGTTCAAAATGCACTCCAATGTCCATTTTCCTTTGGCATCATGTAGACAGAAAACACAGTGTTCTTATGCAGATGTATTTTATATACTTCTAAAGTCTAATGAATGTATTACTATTTTCATCTTAAAATATTTCTTTTTGTTCTTAAGAGACAGGGGATTCTTGTGAACTGTATATTCTCATTAAACCAGCTCTAACACCCATCTGTCCACACAGGAATATTACAGGACATTAAAATTGTTGTAGGGAGGAGAAGGAGAGGAGGATAAACATCTAGGAGCTGAAAAAAGTTCTTGTCTGCTGAAACAGGCTGGTTATTAGGAGCCTGTCCTCCTCGGCGCTCTTTTGGTCTTTTTCTTCCTTTGCTGATTCATCCTCGGCTATAGTTCAAGCAACCGTTTCTTCAAACCAACCAACACAGATATCAAGTTGCCCCTGCAAAGAACCTTCTTCGACCACATTCAAACTTTTTCCGGAGAGAAAAGGAAAGAGATTCTTACATGCACACTTCAAGAGGCACCACCTGGAAGGAAGCTTCCCTGGAGAGCAGCAGGCAAGTAGGCTCTCTGCTTAACTAAGATTAAATTAGCCTATTCTAATTATTACCTGCTTTTAAGGGTATTTTTCTATCATATCTTAGTCTTCAAATTTTTATTTATTTTTAAACCCTTTACATTTTTGAAATTTTTGCAGTGTGATTACTAATCCACTTTTAGTTATATTTCAGCTATGGTTTAGCTGAATTTATAAAAAAAGCCCGAGCTGGGCCTCAGCTATAGGAGGGCCTTGCTGCTGCTTCTTTGTTGTTGTTGTCCAGCCAGATTTTGCCCTTCCCCAGTTTCTTCCACAGCTGATGGAGCCACATTCCCATTCCCTGTCAGCTGCTCAGCCTCCCCTTGGAATCAGATTCCGACAGGGCCATGACAGTGTATATCCTGATTATAAACACAAAAACTATAAATGCATAATACTGCTGGCTATGACTGATTCAACCTGGACTGCTAGGACTGCATTATCATACCAGTATCTCAACATCCTTTGATTCACTGAGTGCCTGGGTCTGTGGGGAAGTTGTCCCTCAACCTGGGATACTACTGCCTTAGATGTCAGGGCTACAAATAGGTTGTTTATACATTGGCAATGCCTCCAACATCTAATTTGGGGGTGAATACTCTTGGCTATTTCTGGGATAAACAGGATGGGTTTAGCTGAACTCTCAATTCTTTGACTGTTGAATCCAGCAGCGCCTTCTCTGGAACACCTGGAAGCTGAAAAATGAGTGCAAGACTGGAGCTGTTGCAACATTTGCCTGCCCCAGTTAAATATTTTCTATTGAACCATGAGGTACTGAGTCTTGTGCTATCATAGTCCGCAGTGTAAGGACATTGATGGAGGTGCTTCTTTGACCTAAAATTTATATTCTTCCTTTTCTAAAATAATCCTTGTCTAAAGAGCAGGTATTTTCCCTGGCTCTCTTCCCTGAAATAAGGATGAAATCTTCTCTTAAAGAATGGACTAAGATCGAAGCCATTTGTTGAACTCTGGATTCTTGGATACCTTTGAGAAACCCAAGTAGACTCTGAAGTTTTCCTTTTCTCATTTAGCCTTGCTTTCTTTGTGCCTTCTGAGGTTACCCTTTTTTGTCGTGCTTCTCTTGTTGAGTGAAGAAGAGATAAAGAAGTCAAAGAGTAAAATATGTTTGATTTATATTCCGTAGGTGCTTTTGAGAAGGTAGAGCCCAAGGTTGAAAGGGATAGGGGAAAAAATCCTTTTCTTATTTCCTTTTCAACAGTGAAGAACAACATAATTTTGTACTTTGGAAGATTGTGGAAAATAAAAGTTGAACTCACAAAAATGTTATTAATTTTTACACCATGTTTTCCTGAATAAGCCATTATATAGTGGTCAATGTCTGGAATACTCTACCCGACTCTGTAGTTTCTTCCCCAAACCCCAAAAACTTTAACCTTAGACTGTCTACTATTGACCTCACCCCTTTCCTAAGAGGTCTGTAGGGGGCGTGCATAAGCGCACCAACGTGCCTACCGTCCCTGTCCTATTGTTTCTCTTATTCCTCTTTTATTTTTCTTATATGTACCCATTTCATGTATTCACAACTATGTATACATTTATACTTCTTATCTTGTAAACAATTGGCAAATCAAATAAATAAATAAATAAATAA